TTGGAAATGTTATAAGTGGGAGCTTTTTTTGTTTTTGTTTGCTTATTTAAGCTGTTTGTATACTAGAACTTACATAAAATGCTTTAAAAATATCAGTCATTTATTTTAATAAATAATATTTTTAAATATTTATTTTCTCTATTTTGAATATTTTAGAACATATTGCCAAATGAATATGGTACATGCTTATTATAATAAGTCAGTGCAGGGATGTATAAAATTAAGTAATAATTTCCCTTTTCCTTTTTCTGATCTCAGCCTATACATCCATTTTTCACAATTTGGTGTGTATTCTATAATATATGCATTGAAAGTGTGTGTGTTTGAAAATGTATACTATAGCATGAAACTCTGCAACATGCTTTTTTTCACTTAACAAAATCATGGATATATTTCCAGGTTAATGCATATAGATTTAAATGAGTTTTAAACTAGATGCATATTATTTTGTACTACAGATGCACTTTATTCAGTCACTTCCCTGTTGAGGGGAGTGTAGATTGTTTCCAGTTTTCTGCTGTTTAAAAAAAAAAAAAAAGGTGCATTAAGTGAACTTATACCTGTAGCCTTATGGACTGAAGCTTTTGTTTCTGTAGGATACATCTAAATGGATTTTTGGGCCAACAGATGATTTGGATTATTTTAAAGATTTTTAAATATACTGATAACTTTCCAAAAATGTTGTGGCATTTCAGATTTCCACAAGTAGTTTGTATGAAAGTGTCTATCTTCACATCTGTACCTGCACGTATCAGAACTAGTCATTTATATCTGTATAATCATGTTGGGGAAGGTGTCTGACTCAGTTAAAGGGAGAACATGCATTCTGTTTTTGGCATAATGATTTGTGTTTAATGTGTGTTTAGAAACCATGTAGATCTTAATTTATCGACCTGGAAATATGTCCATGACTTTGTTAAATGGAAAAATGCTTCAGAGTTTTATGTGATGGCATATCCCTTTTTAAAATATATTTCTCACCTTAGCAGTGGTATGTTTCATGATCAATAGATGTGGTTGAGAAATCCTTTGTTAAAGCAGTATTAAACATAGTTAATATTAATATTTAAAAGGGTCACTTAAATACACGGCACAACAACTATTATTGTTTACTATGCATTTAATAAACATTTCTTTTGACAGCCAGGAAGTTTAGAGCTGAATTTTACGTGCACTGATAGTAACACTATTATACTAAATTTTTAGTATAATTATCTTCTCTCTTTCTCTGATTTTGATATTTTGCTTTTATTTTATCAGTCTACCCACATATGCTTTTAATAAGCTATCTTACGGACAATCATGGTCGTTGGAGTCAGTCCTGGGTTCAAGTTCCAGATCTGCCTTTTACTAACTTTGTAACACTGGCCAAATTAATGAATTTCTCCAAACCTCAATTTCTTCCTTTTTTTTTTAAAGATGACCGGTAAGGGGATCTTAACCCTTGACTTGGTGTTGTCAGCACCACGCTCACCCAGTGAGCTTAACCGGCCATCCCTATATGGGATCCGAACCCGTGGCCTTGGTGTTATCAGCACCGCACTCTCCCGAGTGAGCCACGGGCTGGCCCAATTTATTCCATTTTTGCATGGACATAATGATAATGACTGTAGAATTAAAATAATTAAGAATTATATACCCAATTTCTTCCATTTTTGCATGGACATAATGATAATGACTGTAGAATTAAAATAATTAAGAATTATATAAGACAGTATGGGGGAAATAGTGAAGATCATCACATGGTTTACTCTTAAATGTTCTCTTAAACTTTTTTGTAAGTAGATAAATTGTTATGAATTATTATCCCTGATATTACCATTCACTCATATCTGCAGATTCTTATCATAATGCATCATCTGAATGTAATTATTTAATACTTCTTATTCAGAAATTTTAAGAACCAAGTGAGTGAACTGAGATGGTGTGTGTCCTAAAGCACCACTACAGAGCTTCATGGTATAGCTCATAATCATGTGGAGGAGACAGGATGGTTAAAGAGGGGATCTCTGCTGTGAAAACATTCCTGGGTTCAGTACAGACTGGACTACTTAAGCTGTGTGACCTGGGCCTCTTATCTATTGAGTTATCTGTAAACTTAGCACAATAGGAATTATAAGGATAGTAATAAGGATTAAATGAAATTTTATGTAAAGTATAAGAATCATGTTTGTTATTAGTTTACAAGTTGTTCGTCGTTTATTTAATGATGCCTTTTGTCTGAAATGTACTCTTTTTTTCTTAAATCAAAGGCATTAAAGGAAATCTTATGTACACATGAACTTTATTCAAATGCTTTTTGTATAAATTTAAGAAAGTGGGGAGGGGGAGGGAGGAATCGGTAAAGGGACATGAAAATCAACTACATTGTATATTGATTAAAAAAAAAAGTTTAAGAAAGTGCATTTTAATAGCACCAGTAATTGTACACAAGTTATAGAATATTACCAAGGTTTTTTAAGTTAGTGGACATTGTAGTGTTTCGTGGACTCTTGTTTTCAGAGTGTTTAAACTAGACCAGTGTTTCTCTTGCCCTTTTTTTGGACCTTTGAGTTCTCAAAGTAAGTAAAACAAAAATACCCTTAAATAACTGGGGGGGGTGGGGGGAATGCTTTTCCCCTTCCAAAGCTAAGTAGACAAATTCCTCACTTTACCTATGGTGTGTTTCATATTCAAGATATGAGGTTTAGAAATTCTTTATAGTTCTATTGCAAATACATAATTTTGACTGAATGTGTCAATAAACTATATAGTAATATGTTTAAACCTAGCCAGTACCTGACTTTAGAATAAGAAAGGAGGACCTGTTGTGAGTGTTGGTGGCTACAGTGTTAGATGTTTTCTGCCTTCCTTGTCTACTGAAATTAGTGTTTGAGCAGTTTTCCTTTAATTCTGGCTTGGTATTTTTTGGTAGTTTTTTAAGAAACTTGAACCAGAAAATTGTGTTGTGACATAGAGACAAAGTACTGGTATTTAATCTGAAATAGTGATCATTACTTTTATTTGGAAATAGTTTATGATAATGCCTGTAATTTTTAAAAATTTTTTCAAAATTAATTATCTCAGTAGATATTTAATTAATGAATGCTTTGTGATAATTAGTAAGTACAGAAATTAGTACAACTAGAATTGGGTTATAATTTCGTGATTAGTCTTTAGAGCACTTGAAGTAGAATTTGGGATTGTTAGAGGCCATAATTTTAACATAATAAAATGGAAGGAAGCAAAGTAGTACAGCTACAACTTTTAGTTAGGAGAGGGAAAGGAAATAAGCAAATCAAGGGGAAGAGCAGAAGAGAAACAGTAATTTAAAGGTACTAAGTCATTACTTTTACCCAAGTTTGAATGAGGAAAGAAGAGTTTAGAAGTTAAAAATTAATTAGAAGAGTGTGGGAGGAATGCAGGTTAAGAATTTAATAATACTTAAATATCATTTTTAATGTAAGAGATATTTTTTTCTTCGTGTTTAGAGTCTGGTGCAGAGATCTGGTGAATAATCTAGACAAGTTTTAGCCTCAGGAGAAAGTTCATACTTAGAAGTTTTGAGTCCCTAGTGTCTGGGAAAGGGAATAAAGTTATCATGTTAGAATCTGTTAATCTAACTAGAAAAACTCCCTTTCCTGAAAGAACTGGTTAAGGGAGTTTTTGGTGATAGAGAAGACTGGTTATTAATGTGGTACAACATGCCAAGCTGGAATGGGAAGCAAGGCATCTAATTTGGCTGAATGTAATACATATAGTTGAATGAGACTATATTGTGTGAAGTGATTGTTTAATAATACACTGTAACTAACAGCTTCTTCCTTGATAACAGTAACTCACTTATTTTAAAACTATATTCTTTCCACAGGTTAAATTGATTTATACAGGAATTTTATTTGAAATATGGTATATAGTTAGGTGTTAATTTCAGTAAATGAATTTCTCCAATCATATCAAATGTCTGGCTTGTGTAATGTGATATTGACCAAAACAGTAGAAACCAGATTTAAAAATACTATAAATCAAAATTTTTTAATGGGATTAAATCTTCATATATTAATTTTTTTTTCTTAAACTGAAAACTGGAGAATAAATTTTATTGGAAGTTATTATCAGTGTTAGAATTCTACCCCTTGGTTTTTAGTACCTAGCACAGTGTCTCACACAATTTGAATCAAATGGAGAGGGGTTTTTTTGTTATTGTTATCAAAAGTTGGAGAGAAATTAGTGTTCTTTAGGTTAAGTATATCTGAGGGTTAGAAATACTCTGTGATCTTTTGAAATATCTTCAAATACATAACTTTCAAATTTTACAACCACAAGTATAATTTTATGGCATTATTTCTCTCAGCTCCTAGAATAGTATATAACAGGCACTTAATATATTGTTAATTTGCAAGTTCTGTATTAGTTTGAGCCATAGGAAATTGCCAGTAATAATTGACCTTTTATTTTTTCGTCTGTAGTAACAGTTTCATGTGTTTCAATCTAATTTTAACTTATTTGATTTGAAAGTTATGTGATTGCTCTTTCATTGGATGCTATTGATTTAAAGTAGTGTGAAAAAATTATTTTGTGTTTATAAGTTAGTGGTTACTTTTTATACCATTCTGTTTAAAATCAAAGTTCTGAACAAGTAGTCGCTAACTTGATCAGTTAACAGAGAAGGGAAACTTAAGGGAGGAGGACTGTTTATAATGACGTTTTTCTTGTTTAAAATTTTTCAGAGTAACATTTCCTATTGGATATTTCCTTAAGTGAAATATTGGAGTTGTTTTGGTATAAATGGTTTCTCATATTTCTATGAATGATTAATGGGAATGTTAAAGCAACATTCATATATTCGTATATTCAATCAATTTGAGAAAAGCAATTCAGTCTGACTTATTATAAACAGTATTTTGTTTACATTTGGTGTCCTTTATTTTATATATCTTTAAAGGATAGCAGTGATCAGTTTGGATAACTTATGTATACTTTCCTTCTGAAGTAACACAGTTTTCTTTGTTTTTAGTGCCACCATGGCAACTGCACCATACAACTACTCTTACATCTTTAAATATATTATTATTGGTAAGTTTATTTAACTTATGTTAAATAAGTTATTTTTCCCCAAAGAAGATTAACTTATAAAATATTTATGTACTCCTACTTAGACATACCACTGTAGGAAGAGTGAGTGATTTTTCTCACTGCAAAAAACTAAACCTCCTTTGATAAGATTTATTTTTGCATTCACATTATTTTTCCCCAAAGAAGATTAACTTATAAAATATTTATGTACTCCTACTTAGACATACCACTGTAGGAAGAGTGATTTTTCTCACTGCAAAAAACTAAACCTCCTTTGATAAGATTTATTTTTGCATTCACAATTAACCTTAATGTACCTTTCGCATTGTAGCCCTGGATTCTTCTGTAGTACAGTGCTGGGGACCTTGTGAAGTGATACTTGTTGTTCTTAAGGACTACCTGAGAGCTTGTGAATACTGGGAATGAGATTAATTTCCTAGGAGTACTGAAACATTCCAGAAATACCACAGAGGCCTCAAACCCCTTGGATTCCAAAAATTGGGAGAGAACATTGATTCAGAATAAGTTGTGTAACATGTATAAAATATAATGTTGGTGAAATATAATGTTCTTACGTTTCAGGAAGATTTTGCTCAATTTAAAAGTCTTAATGCTTTTTATTCAAGCATAGTTGTAAGAGTACAGTTTGAAAGTACTCATGCTTTTCAGCGAATTCTTCACATTATAAAAGTTTGGTTTAATGTTGAGCTCATGTGACTTTGTAATGCTTCCTTTACTAAGGGTTAAAAATTGCTGTAGTACAGTCAAAGATGACATCTGTTCTGTTATGGTTTTCATGTAATGCCAATTCTTTTCTTTTATGGAATTTTACAAGAAATACAAGAAATATAAGACAGGGGACCTAGTGAATCAAGCTTCAAAACTCAATTTGTTACTTCTGCTTTTCGTATGCTACTGCATTTGTCACTTAGGAATCTTTTACTTCTGTGTATGGGTTAAGGGAAAAAATAAAACTTTGAAACAGCTGGAAGTAAAAAATGTTATTACAACAAATTTCTCTGTCAAAAAGCACTTCCCAGCTGGTAGCTATTTATTAACATATTAATTTACAACCAAATTCTGTCACTTCTAAAGGCTGGGAATAGTCAATTAGTATATCACAGTGAAAACTGACCTATAGATCTTTTGAATCTATTATAAAGTAGGGAAATAAAATTTTTCCAAGTATTCCAGAAACTTGTGAGGTGATATGGTGAAGGATATAGCAGTCATTGCATATGATTATAAGAGTGTAAATTAAGGAATGTAATTGATACCTGAAAAAAAATTTTTTTTGAACAGGGGACATGGGAGTAGGAAAGTCTTGCTTGCTTCATCAATTTACAGAAAAAAAATGTAAGTTCAATACATGAGGTAAAACATTAGTAGCTTTCTTTATTGTCACATTTCTCCTTTTTAAAAGGTATCATTTCAGTGTACTTTATGCATGTAAATATAACCTTTTCCCATATTTGCACTTTCACCTTCAAGTATAGTGATTTTTTAAAAATTTGTGCAGATAAAATGAAAAATACCAGCATGTTTAAAGTGTTGATTTTTATATGCCGTATATAATGTGATTCGCTTGTTTTACCATTCTCTTGATAGTAAAAATGTAAAGTTAATTTTTTTAAATGCATAGAATAATGCCTGATTTAAATAATCTTTTTTATTGTTATTCTCTGATCTTGTGTTAGAGAAATTATTAGGGGGAATTTGCTGCATATATCCTTTGTTAACTAATAGATTTGAAATACTTAAAATGGAATTCGTTCTGCATTCATGACCAGTTGGTTAAAATTGAGAGTACAACTTTATCTTGGGATAGGGGAAGGGGCCAATTTGTTATAATTTATATGCTAAATATAGCTGAAATTGTTTTTATATAGTTGAAATTATTTCTATTTTTCTGCTGCTTAACAGAAGTTTGATGTGACATTTTATGAAGTGGTCTGTGTACTTGTACCAGAGAATAGTGGGTTTAGGTTTTAAGTGGCCTAATTATGAGGAAAGTACTAAAAACGTGTCTTATTGGCTTGGACATATATAACTTGTCAATGTTAAAGTCTAAATTAAACATTGTGATTTTGAGACACTGATGATAATCTCCAGGATCAAAATTTGTTTGACTAACAATTCCTAGAGTCTTAAGACCATTGATTGATTTGTTATAGGTAATGATTATTGGAAGGCTAAATAATATAATGTTGGTATTGTGAAGAGTTTATTTATGTTCTTAGTTTTACTTAGCAGATTCTTTTAGTCCAGGGGTCAGCAAGCTGTTGCCAGTGGGCAAAATCCATTTACTGCCCTGTAAATAAAATTATATAGGAACCCAATCATGCCTTTTTTATGCATTGCCTATGGCTGCTATTTTGCTTCAGTGGCAGAGTTGAGTAGTTGTGACAGAGACCTGTTGGCCTACAAACTGAAAATATTTACTGTTTGATCCTAAGCAGTTTGCTGACCCCTGTTCTAATCCAGACACATTTCTCTGATTTCTTACTTCGTGGTCTTTGCTAATTTTTTTTTCCATTGGTAGCTTTAGTCTTATTTATAACCTACACATATTAGTAAGTCATTTGATTGTTCAGTGGATTTTTCCCCCACTAGTCTTAATTTGAAGTTTTCTGAAAGTTAGGGTAATATTTTTTTTTCCCTTCCCTAACAGTTATGGCCGATTGTCCTCACACAATTGGTGTTGAATTTGGAACAAGAATAATTGAGGTTAGTGGCCAAAAAATCAAACTGCAGATTTGGGATACAGCAGGACAGGAGCGGTTTAGGGCTGTTACACGAAGCTACTACAGAGGAGCTGCAGGAGCACTTATGGTGTATGATATCACTAGGTAAGAGATTAATAATTTTTCAACCTTCATACTTGGGAAAGGAAATCTACTTTGAGGCAATGTGGTTTCTTTTTTATTTAGGCATTTTTTAGTTTATAATTATATGACTAAATGAACTATTTGGGTTTTATGGTTTCTTCTCTAAGTTGCTGTGTAAAACTTGATATAACATGTTGATTTCTTTTCTGAAAGTTGGTGTGACAAAGAACTTTAGGAGATGGTTGGTGGAGCTAATAGAGGAATACAGTTCTGAAAAGCAGCATCAGTTGAATTATTTGAGGAGAAATAATATTTTATATGAAACTTTGTTTTCTTTCTTTTTTTTCCTTTTTGTCTTTTTTCGTGGCCGGCAACGGGATCGCAACCCTCGGTGTTGCGCCCGCACCTAGCTCAGCCAGTGAGCGGCCGGTCTGTATGTGGGATTTGAACCCTCGGCGGGAGCAGCCCACCGTGCTCACAAGCGGCGCACTGTAGCAGTGCGCCACCGGGCCGGCCCAGAAACTTTGTTATTTTCACTTCAGTAGAAAGCAAGCAGGTCTTAAGGATTTAATCTCTTCAGTCTCTATTGTTAAAGTTTATATCTTCTCAAAAAAAGGCGAAGCAAGGAGTTAAATCATTTTGCTAATTCAGCATGGGAGATTATAAAAAGTTCTTATGTTTGAATCTGAAGGTGTTTGAGTATTTAATTGTTCGTTTACTTAAATTCTTTTTTGTCCTAAAATGGATCGAAGTGACATAAAATACTGCATGCAGCAGGGTTAAATTTATTTCAGCATGGCTATTTCTGGAAACTCAGAGCTCTTGATATAAAGTAGCAAAACTGGAGTGTAAAGTTTTGGCTTTGGAGAACATGGAAAACTGCCACTTTATTAGACCCTATGCTGTTTGTCTATTGTAATTAGAAAACGAACTGGATCACCTTTCATGCTGATGCAGAGTGCCAGTCAAAAAGCAGCATGATTCTTACCTTTTTTGGGGGGTAGAGATGGGTTAGTTGGGACCAAGTCATAATTAGACTCTCAAGCATATTTCCTCTTGGGAAATGCTTTATGCTCTTTCCTCTTAAAGCGTCACAATGCACATTAGGATATTGAGGACACTGAGAAGTTCTGCAGTAAAGAAATGATCAGTAAATAGTATTGTGGGAAGCCTATTAAAGAACCTGGCCATCTGTATAGAACTGTCTCATTTATGAGAAATGTATTCCTGATGACTTTATATAATTAAAAACTCCATGTATTATTAATAAAATTTGAATATGGTGATGTGTGCTTAGAATGTGATTTGTTTTTGCTTTTAAACATACCTTTTAAAGGTAGTAAATATTTTGAATAAGCTTTATGTCTATTCAAGTGATCAAAAGTACTTCAGCTGGAGACAACCAAAATGACCATCAACTGAGTAAAGGGATAAACACATTGTGATATATCCATACAGTGGAATGTTATTCAGCTATAAAAAGGAATGAAGTATTGATACAGTGTGGATGAACCTTGAAAACATTATGCTAAGTGAAAGAAGCCAGACATAAATGGCCACATATCGTGTGATTCCATTTATGAAATATCCAGAATAGGCAAATATATAGAGACAGAAAGTGGATTGCCAAGTGAGGGGGAGTAACTTCTAAGTAACTTCTAAGCAGGGTTTCTCTTTAGAATGATAAAAATGTTCTAGACTTAGTGGCGATTAGTGCACAACTCTGCGAATATATTAAAAACAACTAAATTATATACTTTAAAATGGGTAAGCTTTATGGTATGTTCATTATATCACAATAAGACTTATTGAAAAAAGCACTTCAGGCTTTAGACAGGTTCTTTCTTGACCCAGTGATACTTTATGGTGACATTGATGTTGCAGTCATGGTACCAATTTTTTCTATTTTTTAATCCTTGACATTTTGCAAACTTAAAAGCCCCATTTTCTTGGCATTAACTCTTAATTGTTACAGGGTGCTTTTCTAAATCAACAGCATAGCCTGTCATGACAGTTGCTTTGCCATATCAGTTTGATATATCTAATGTCCTGCCAAAGTTAGGGATATTTTAGCACCTTGTTTAGCGCTAGCACCACTAATTAAGAATATTTGATATTTATTTATAGATTTAAAATGATAATGACAGTGAATTTTTAATTAATAATATAATAATTAGAATAATTTGCAGAAGGTATGGTACATGTAAATTATATGGTTTACGTGATCTTGAGACTACTGACAAAGGATGTGTAGGCTTTTCTGTTTACCAAAGTTTATAATTCACTCTCCCTGCCAGCTTTAAAATTTTTAATTTCATTAGAATTAGTATAAATATGTTTGGACTTATTTAAGGTTTTGCATGAAGTAAAACATACCTGTTATGTAAAAGCAAGGTATATCAGTACTATAGATACTGAACAGTGATAAGGCTTGTGCTCTTTTAAAGTGATATTTGACCATTGTTTAGTTAGAAAATTCTAAAACATTGGGGGAAAGGTGCTATTTTGATATATATGACATCATTTTTTTTTTTTTTTTTTTACTTCAGATGGTGATTTATGTATAAGATATAGAACCAAAAAAAAAAAAAAGAATCTGAATAAGGAGTTCTTTTTAGTTTCCATTCTGAAAGGATTAAATATTTGTAATATTGAATTTTATATGAGCACTGGCAGCTGGAGATCATGAAATATGTTCACAAGGCTAAACTAGAAACACTTAGAGGACATATGGTGTGTGTAAAAAGGTTCTAGGACTGGCTCTGACATCATTTAAATCTTTATAGCCTTCTGTTTCTCAACATGTTAAATGAGTAAGATGGATTAATGTTCTGTGAGTCTCTAAATCAGAAACGTTTTTAACTTCAAAAATTTTATTATCTTGACTCTTTTGGTAGTTCTACTCTGTATAGTATTGTAAGTTGTTTGGATTTGTTTGCCATCTTGGGGCCTTCTTGTCTAGTGCACTGAGCCTGAATTTTTAAACTCTTGCTTGGAGAAAGTGAAGAAATAGGACAGTCTGAATCCCAAAATGATTTAGCTGCCTGGTAAATAAGAGTACAAGTTAGGATAAACTTCCTTTTATATCTGGGGACTTGAATTTCCAGTCAAATATATTAAATGCCTTTTTAAAGCCATCTTTTATGTTGTTGTAGTTAGCTTACTCTTCATTATTAAGCAAAGGTGAATTATGTACCAGCTTAAAATAGTGTGACTTATCTTGGTTTCTAATTGAAAATTAGAATTTAAAACCATGCAAAAATGTTTTCCATTGAGTGTGTCATTTGTTAGGCATTTTGTACTACTTTGTCTCTGTTTTGTGATTGAAAATATGGATAATTTAAAAATAATTTTAGTTCTGACTTCAGATTGGAAATTTTGGGTTCAGAATTTTATATTAATTTGATATCTTTCTTGCTTGCTTATTGGTCTGTTTACGATGTGCATTTAAATGTAAATAATGTGCTCCTGACGTAATTAGCAAAGTTGTTAGATATTGAATTAACTTATTTAAAAATAATGTGTTTGGGTAGATTTTTGAAAAGTATGTGGTTGTATTTCACAACTATTCTTCAGAGTAATTAGTCAATGCAAAAACAATCTTTTAGGATCTGTTGATTAAAATATACCTTTTAAATATTTATTGAAGTTTCTTTTTCTCTGTTTAAATGGCAATTTTATGTGGCAGTCACAAATTTAAACCTTAATTTTTGCAGAAGAAGTACATATAACCACTTAAGCAGCTGGTTGACAGATGCAAGGAATCTCACCAATCCAAATACTGTAAGTTAAATGACATCTTATTATACAGAACTTTTAAGCTAATCCAAAAAGGAGAGCCATTTGCTGGTGAGATTTTTGTATTTAGGTACTAAGAGTGAGAAATTCTTTATTTTATTCTTAAATTAATAGAGGAAAACTTAACATTTAACATTTTTTTCCAGTTCTAATTACCACAGGTTTTACATTTTATTGCACTTGGTTTTTGTTCATGTTTGTAGTTGAAAAAAAAAGAAGAAAATTATGAATAAGTTGGTGATCTCATGTCAAGTGGAGACTGAAATCTGAAATTATAATTTTAAAAGGGACCTGCATTAGTTTCATAAAAGGTTAGCATTGGAGGAATCTGGGCAAAGTGTACAAGGGATCTCTGTTATTTCTTAAAACTGCATGTGAATCTACAATTATCTCAATAAAAATTTCAATTAAAAATAATAATTCTGCATGCTTTAAAAAATTAGCTTCTTAGGCAGACTGAGAAGATATTTATTGAGATTTTATAGGCTGGCCACCATGGTAGACACTGCAGTATTGCAAAGATAAAGATGAATGTTGGTTCTTGGTCCCCAAGAATTTATAGTCTAGTGAGAAGAGAAATAGCAGGTATACAGATAACTATGTTGCAAAGCAGATTGAAATATAAATTAGAAATAGTGAGTGGCACAGTGCTGGGGGAGCCCAGGATGAGCAATGCCATCCGGAGAAACCAACGTTACAGAGGAGTTGTGTTTGAACTGGGCCTTGAAGGGTGAGTAAAGTTTCAGTAGATGCCCTTGATAGTGTTCCAGTGAGGAAACGCACTGAGCTGTGACTGATTCTGAGTTTCTCAAGAACAAGGTCTGTGTCTCCCTTAGTTTTATATCCCACCACACCTAGCACAGGCCTGGTTCAGTAAATATGTAATCATTGGCAAGATTGGCTTTTATCAGGGAATAATGGTTTAAATCATACTGAGAGTCAGTTAACATAGTATGGCTGTTATGTTAGTCCGTTTCTGTTGCTTATAACAAAATACACAGAACTGGGTATTTCATAAAGAAAACAGAATTTATTGCTTATAGTTTCTGAGGCTGGGAAGTCCAAAGTCCAGGGAACGCAGCTGGTGAAGGTCTTGGTGGTGACAGTGATGGCAGGGTATCATATAGCAAAAACGGCGGAGTAGAGAGAGAAAGTCTCCTCTCTCTTCTTTTAAAGCCCTCAGAACCACGCCCCTGACCACCATTTTTAATCCATTCATTACTGCACAGTCCTACAATCCAATCACCTCTTCAAGGCTCCACCTTTCAATTACCATAATAGGACTTCCCACCCTCTTAACAGTCACAGTGGGAGCCAAGTTTCTAACACATAAAAGTTGGGGGCACAATTCAAGCTTCAGTGAATTTTGGGGGGACATTCAATCCATTACAGCTATTATTATGCTAGGGACTGTGCCTAGAACTTTCATTTCCATTATCACATTAACCCACTGTAGATGTAACATGCAAACCTATAGATGACTGTTCATAGCAGTTTTATTTGCATTAGTCAAAAACTGGAAACAACCCAGTTGGCCATTGACAGGCGAATGGTTAAACCATCTGGTATAGTCATTCATACCGTGGTGTACTACTAAGCCATACATAGCAATGAATTATTGATACATGCAACTATTTTAGATGGATCTCAAAAGCATTATGCTTAGTAAAAAGGTCAATCTCAAAAGTTTACATAATGTACAATTCCATTTATAAAACATTCTCAAAATGACACAGTTGTAGAGATGGAGAATAGTGGTTGCTGGGGTTAGCGATGGGGTGGAGGGTGGGAACAGTGTGACTATAAAGAGGTCAGCACAAAGCATTTCCTTTGTAGTGATGGGACAGTTCTGTGTCCTGATTATGATGACACAAATTTGTACCCGTGATAAAACTGCATAGAACTACACACGTGCGCACACACGAACCCACAAGCATGTTAAAACTGTGAAATCTGAATAGGGGCTGTCGATTGTACCAGTGTCAGTTTCCTGGTTTCGAAAGTATGCTATAGGCTTGGTGAAGGATACCCCAGGACTTCTCTATAATTTTTTTGTAAGCTTCTGCATGTCTATAGTTATTTCAAGTAAAATGTTAAAAAAGAAACAAAACTAATTGTAGATGGTTCACAGAAGAGTATAATAAAATTAGCCATGTCCTTCCTACCTCATTTATGCCCTTTGAACTCTAACCAGATCTTCGGGAGAGAAAAATCTGTTCTTTAAGGTCCACTTCAAATATTATATTTTCTCTAAAGTTGCCTTTGATTTCTATGTAGAAGTCATGTACTTTCTCATTTTGTTGCTGGTCTGTTTTGTACCTCTCTGTAATTAGCATGCCACTTTATGCCTCCCCTCTCAGGGAAATAGGAAGCCTGGTTTGGAAATTCATAAGGAATTGGTAGGGGAAGCAGTATTGCTTGTTTTGAGTACGTGTCTTGTAATAGCTGTGTACTAGGCTATTGTGACTTAACAGACCTGATTTTTTTAAAAATGATTTCCTTTAAAGTATCATTATTATTCTTTAAAAAAACAGTGAACTATATATGAAAATTTCTTTCCGTTCTCAGTGGGCACTTGTCCGTACTGATTGAAGAATACTCACTTTTGTTGTACTACTTAACTGTCCTTGTATAAGGTTTACATTCAGATCAAAATTGTTACTTAGTTCATTGGACAGAAATTTTTGAAAGTGGAAGAGCCGGGGGCTGTAATTTTTCTTCTTCTTCTTTTTTTTTTTTTTTTTTTTTTTTTTTTTGGCAGCTAGCTGGTATGGGGATCCATTATAAGGCTGTGTTCTGAGCTGAGTTAACTGGCCAGCCCCAGGGTCTATAATACACAAAAAAAAGAGTTAATGGTAGAAATGCCTTTTAGTCAGAACCATCTATTCCTAAAATATACATATCTGAATTACCATATCTGTTTGGAAAGGAAAAGGAGGGGACTGTTTTACTAATTGGTGTCAAATAAGCTTGTATACAGGTTGAGCATTCCAAATCTGAAAATGTGACATGCTGCAAGATCTGAAACTTTTTTGAGCACTCTTATGCTGCTTAAAGGAAATTGCTCATTGAAGCATCTCAGATTTTGGGTTTTTGGATTTGGATGTTCAGCTGGTAAGTGTACAAATACTCCAAAAACCAAAAAAGTCTGAAATTGAAAACACTTGTGATCTCAAGCAGTTTGGATAAGGAATACTCAACCTGTATGTACACAGTTTATCTATACTTGTCCCCCTTTTTTTGTTTCCCTGGGCTACATAATTTTTTCTTATAACTTTGCAGAGTTGCCTTTAACTTTGGCCTAAGTTCAGTTGTATAAATGATTCCAAAGTGGATACTGGTGTGTGTATTTTGCATTGGACTTGAACTAATTGCATGGGTGCCCCTGTCCTCCACCCCAACTGTCCCCCGTGGATATATACAGACATATGCCTAGAGATAGTGTGGAGTAGCACAGTATTTGTCTTAAGGTCACAGTTTGTGTTTTCTATCTGGATTCTAATGTCCTTCTACCATTGATTCACTGAGTGACCTTTGGCAAGTCTCTATGCCTTATTTGAGCTTCATCTTCCTCACACATATCCCGAAGGAGTCGAACTAGGGTTTTTTTTTTTTTTTTTTTTAACTCTTTGAAGGTCACAGAACTTCTTGAAAATCTGATGAAAGCCATGAATCTTTCCCTCAGGGAATATTCCATGTATACAGTATTGTATGTTTAATTTCAGGGCATTCATGAGTTTCCCAGAGCTTGTCCATGGACCCTTAGTAATTGTACCCAGGTAAATCATAATCTTTGGCCTAGATCAAGTATCACCAAACTTTGGGCCATATCCCACCCATGGCCTGTTCTGCAATGGCTTGTGAACCTTATAAGAATGGTCTTTTACATTTGGTGGTAAAACAGCAAAGAAAAATTATGCAACAAAGACCATATGGGGTCCCGATACCTGAAAAATGTACTGGTCTGCTCTTTATAGAAAGTTAGTCAATACATGATGTAGATGATTGCCCAGATCCTTCTTAGTACTAATGACTTTATGATTCTGTAGTCCTGCCTGGATAATTGCTAGTATTTGGTTTCCTTTTTAGGCCCAGATTTTTTTTTTATCAAGATTTTTGGACTTCAGAATTTGCATGGTTAGTTTTAAATGGTTGGTTTTGTTTTAAGATGTCTTTCTTTTGATCACAATTTAGGTAATAATTCTCATAGGAAATAAAGCAGATTTGGAGGCACAGAGAGATGTTACATATGAAGAAGCCAAACAGTTTGCTGAAGAAAATGGTGGGTTTCTTTTAAGACTTAATGGTCACACTTGGGAGAATTTCTAAGGAAAGGTGGGATCTCAATACTGCAGATGATTTGACAATTTTTTTGAATGCATACTGCTCAAAAATCTAAAGAATGAGGATATAACAATGTGTTTCTATTTCTATGAGATTTATGTTGGGAATACTACAATTATTGTAAATGTGAAGAGGCCCTCCATCTTACTTTTATAAAGTTTTATGATAGGAATATTGAAAGCTGATGGAAAACTTACTCAGATGGTACTGAAGGGAATGCCCTTGTGAGTTAGTTTGAAATGTCCTAATTATAGTCTGAATTTTATTTTTAGGCTTATTGTTCCTTGAAGCAAGTGCGAAAACGTAAGTATGGCTAAAATGTAGATCATGTTTCAGTTACATTGAAGTTTCTCAAAGTAGAACCATACATTTGAAAAGTATATAATGTATATATGATATAATGTATAAATGTGTAAAGCTTTATGGCAGGAAGAATAGTAAGCAAATATCCCTTTACTTCCTGTTTCACATTTCAAAATAATATGAATTTTTGTTACTTTGCTTAACAGATTGTACCTTGATTATGCCTGTTGGTAACCCAGATTAATAAATGAGACTGTTTACATTTCAGAAATGTTTGACTTTCACAACTCAGGTTGAGTTTGGAGTCTCAGGTCCAAGCTTGGCCAATCTGTTCATATAATACTTCTGATCATGTTAAAAAGCATGACTTAAGGAAATAGTGTCTAATCAGAAGCATAATAAACTTTTTCTAATGGTTCTTTTATGTCCATTATTGAACCCTAGTGTTCCCATCATAGTTCTTTATTGATTAGCCAAGAGTGCCTTGCAGTGGTAAGGAGAGGCTTCCCTGTTTTTGTTTAGCCTCAACTGTGCTGTTAATCCCAAGAGAACTGAACTGAACTGTGAACATGGCTAAGCATGAGTATGTCGCCATCACATGATAAAAACAGCACAGTTCATGCTTGGCTGATCAGATCATACAAATCCTGGAATCCTGTTCAGCATGTTCGGAAAGATTTCATTTCTGTTTGGAGTAGTCTCTCTGTTATCACAGAAATGGCCTATCTCAACTGTCGTGTGTGTGTGTGTGTGTATTAACATACAGCATTTTAATAATTAGAGCACATCTAATTATCCAAATAGGGTTTGTAAAAACAACTCTTAGTATCATGTTTATATGCTTTCCACAGAAAATATTTTCCCATGTTGTTCTCTTAGTTTAGTCTTCTGATAATCTCTTATTAGATGACAGTGGCTAAGGTGAAGACATCATGGCAGTTGACTAAAGGTTAGCAAAAGGTCAGTGTGTAATGCCTTATCTTTAGTAGAAAGCTGTGGTTCTCGAATAAAGTTGTCAATTGCCTCTTAGGGGAGAGAACGTAGAAGATGCTTTTCTTGAGGCCGCCAAGAAAATCTATCAGAACATTCAGGATGGAAGCCTGGATCTGAATGCTGCCGAGTCTGGTGTACAGCACAAACCCTCAGCCCCACAGGGAGGCCGGCTAACCAGTGAACCCCAGCCCCAGAGAGAAGGCTGTGGCTGCTAGTGACCTCTTTGCTGTGGCCCCTCATTTGACCTTTCACCTCTGTCTGTTGGAAGCAGTACTTTTTACTGCCTCGTTGTCTTCTGTACATCTTACTGGGTTTAATTCAAAAAAAAAAAAAGAAAAAACTCTGTTGTAAAAACAGTTTAACAAAATACTAAACTGCTAAACAACTAGATGTAATCAGGTTATCAAAGGCAAGTAGAGTAATAATCTCTCCTGCATGGTAAATCTAGACTTTATTTTCCCCTTGATTGTCTTCGTGATAGGTATGTCACCAATATATGATTTAAACTGAGCACTGATGCTGGACTTCATGATTTTTACCCTCCCTCTTTGGCAAGGTTTTGTCTCACTGTATGGTTTAATTTGATATCTTAAGCCTTTCTCCCCATCTTTAACTGTACAAGTATATCTGTTTTAACCAATAAGTTAATTGCTGTGAAATGACTTCTGATGGTAGAAAAGGAGTTCTATAACTGCTTTTCTTTTGTTTTTGTTGGATAAATTCCCTGTTGTGTGGGTGGCAATTTTCTTGACAAGGTTTCTTTCTGTCTTAGCCTTGCACAGGGAAAATAACCATTTATCTTTTCTCCTGTACTTAATAGCTTTATCCTTTTTTTTTTTTTTACACCATTTTATCCTTTTCTCTTTAACAGAAAGTAAATATGTATAAAATTTGAAGGAACCGAACTAACAATACCTTTTGTGTATATTATTTTAATGAAGAAAATAAATTGATTACTGGCATTGGAACAGTATAAAATACCAGTTTGTACAGTATGACCTATATGTGACCATGTTACTCCCTTCCATTTCACACAAGGAAATAGACACAACTGCAGTTCAAAGTAATACTGGCTCCACCCCTTGGTGCTGGCAGTGTTTGAGGATATTATGCTGGAAAGCGCTCCTAGCATCAGAGGATTAACACTAGCAGATTCTGTTCCATCTTTGCACTGTGGCTTACCTGCTGAGTTTCTTAACTGTTCTTGTGCAATTGACAGTGTGCTGACCTGCTTTTCTTTCTGTAAACCTTTTGCATTACAGGCTGCATTCTTGCCTTACTGTATAGAAAAAGAAAAAAGGCTGGGTTTATCATTGCACATTTTAAGCTTTTATACCTTTATCTTCTTGGAATGGTCAGATTCTGAACCAGACAGCCAGAACCGCAGGTCTGCTGTTAAGGGATTTTAAGTTGTGGATTTTTAACACTACAGTGAAATAATTTAAGATAACCCTTGTGTTCATAGTATGAGGGGCTATTTTATGTCATGTTGGCATAAATTGTTTTGAAAAAAGGGAAAGTGTTTCTAGTGGTGTTTCATTGCTTGTGCTCATACAGAGTAAGTTATTATTACTTTGCACTAGGTGGTTTGGCCACTGAAAGAATACTGTATTGCAAGAGACACAATCTTATTTAGCCAAACATGTTTTACCAAGTTCTTCACTTCTGTTGATTGATTTCTAATTGAATTTATGGTTTGGTGGCTGAGAATTGAGAAGTTATTTGAAGCAGGATAGGTAAACCTCAGCATATTATGCACTCAGCTCAACTGTTGTGTTTAAAATACACATTTTTAAATCCCTCTTTACAGACACTAACGTAAAAGTACATCTTTCCAGGTTGTAAACATGTAGTAGTACCAGAGTGTTGTATAGTCAATGTTAAATAAAAGCCAAAACTGGAATATGCAGAAAATAGGATTTGATTAATTTGTGGACTCGTCTTTATTTTCTTCTTTGTTCAACTTTTTAAAAAAGATTCCTGGCATAGATTGGTATATTCTGTTAAAGACTTAACAGTGATCCATTTTGCTTACACTGTTGCATCACAAGGGATTTGCCCAGGGACCATGACCTGCTGGTGTGTGTATGTATTTACAAAGACAAAACAAACAAAAACCACGCATTGGGATATAAGGTAGCAATCACAAACTAAAGATTACAGCTTGTTTAGGTGCAATACCCCGATTCCCAAAGTTAGTTACAGGGGGTCTTATTGGTTTTTGTGACAGAAGGATTTATTCAAACTGCTGTACTCTTCACTTGATGTAACAAAATGCTATTAATCTAAATATTTGTAAATAAAGTACCTATATGTAGATTAAATTAAAATTGGTTGCATTATTTTCTGAACTATAATAGATTTTATTTTCTTTAAGTGAACAGTTATTTGGCATAAGCTGTCAGTTTTTATTGCAGAACTGTCATTTGTTGTATAGAGTTCTACATATGTAGTGCATAAAACCACATCACTAAGTACTTGAGCTAGTTTTATCCTTGTGTCTGCATCACCCTTGCAATATGTTTTTAGTCAACCTTTTTCAGTGTGAGATCAGCACATTTGGTGGCTGATTGATAGTGTTTTCCCTTGACTGTACTTGGGGCCAAATTCTATTATTTGCCTATGTAATTCCCTGTAATAAACTTGGGTGCTCAAAAATAGAGGAGCAAATTGTCATATTGTAACATCTGCATTCCAGACACTGGGCAGTACACTTTAGAGAAAATGTGAAATTCTTTTAATTTTTAATCCATGGAAGTTTACTGCTTGTATGGGTCACCTGCTTCTCTAGGTTACTCGTTGCCCTCACACCTATGGGGAGGCCCTCTGATTAGTAACTGGTGCTCAGTACTATTTATGCATTAGACATTCCAGTACAATGTTCAGGTGTTTTTCATGGACAATAAAGTGTTTGATGCAGTAACCTTGATTTTTTTTTTTTTTTTGGTTGGTGTTGCACACAATTCTAGTTAGAGGTAGTAAAATTTCTTTAGGGAGATGTTTTTTGAAACCAAGTGTTCGGCTTCATACATCACCTCACTTCCAGTCCTTCACACAATAGCTTTTGAGAACTTTTTTTTGCCCATACATACACCTGTTTTCAAGTGCGATTTTTTTTTTTATTTAATCAACGAATGGTTCAGTTTGTTCTCCTTCATCAGAAGACTAATTTATTACCTTCTATTCCTGTTCATGTGGGAGTATAGAGAAGGTACACCTAGCAGTTAGAAGATACTTTACCCTCATTCAGCACGGGTCCCTGAAAGATGTCAATTGCAAATAGGCTAGGCCTTTAAGCATTTTGCTAAGAGTTGAAAAAGTGAAACAAAGGAGAATATAAATACAAGACAAATTGAGTTGTTTTCAAAGTAGATGCCCTCTAGAATTTAATGTATATTGATAAATTATGTCGTCACTTTCATTGTCTTTATTGTAACTACATTTATCACATACCTTAATGGTCCAGTTCTAGCCAAACAACTTTTTAGGAACATATACTTCAGTGGTGAGGGATTACTGCACTGTGCTGTTTTGTAGCTAACATGGTGTAATGCCTGTCATGGTTCAAAAGCTGTAGTGGCCTAGAAGGAGTTCTTAGGAATATTTTAAAACCTAATCTATTACATATTTACCCTTTAGGAATAATTCTATCACCACACAACTGACAGTAGTTGCTCTTCTTGTTTTTAAAGAAATGCGTAGATCATGAAGTTGAGCCATTCAGTATAGTAGTTCAAAAATTTAAAAGTTTAAACACAGTTTGAATTTATCACTGGGTCAGATTCTCCAAAGTACAAAGTTTACATAATTTTCCACCAGTTAATACTTTTGGTCAAGGAAAGGCAACTTAAGTATAATAGTTCTAATAATAGACACTTTCAAATGATGAAATATACTTAATAAGTACAACTTCAATCTCCAGGCAAAAGAAAACCATCTGAAAAATTGTCATTTTCTTGGAATCAAGGTAAAAATGATGGCTTTACCATAGGTTGATCGGTGAAATGTAAAGTCAGATGACAGACCCAAGTTGACTGTATCTTTTATTTTCATATGAAAAATAGATTTTAAGCAGAATCCAAAAATATAACTCTTGATACTATATAAATGAAGGGGGGCTGAAGTACATTCCTTTTCTTTGTAACTAGATTTACCAGTTTATAGATTCAAGTATGCAGTTAAAATCAGCATTGGTTTTATAGAAACACATTCCAAAGACAAAAAAAACAAACAAACCCAAACCCTCAGACACCTAGGATGCTGGTTTAAACTGTACAAGTGATTTACAAAAACCTTGGCATTAGTGGTACAAGCAAAATAACTACAGGGGAGTTTCAGCATCTGAATTCACTGGATCTTGATATAAGCTAAGTGGCATTCCAATTATGAAGTTAGTGAGGTAGTGGAGGTTATTCCTCAGATATATTTATGTAAGACTATTCCTTATCTGGCTGAGACATCCTTTTCCTACAATAAGACAAAAAGAAAGGATGAATTAAATTCTTGAAGCAACAAGTGGCATTCCAATTATGAAGTTAGTGAGGTAGTGGAGGTTATTCCTCAGATATATTTATGTAAGACTATTCCTTATCTTGCTGAGACATCCTTTTCCTACAATAAGACAAAAAGAAAGGATGAATTAAATTCTTGAAGCAATAAGAACAGTCTTAACAAATTAACAACTAAATGATAGCATGATGACTAATAGTTAAAAATATATTTGAGTACCTCTGAAAAAATGTTTTAAGATGAACCACTGTGCAAAATCATGAGATAAAGATAAAAAGGTTATTTTTCATAAGTGCTAGAATTTGAGCTCTTCCTATTGGAAGTGCTAATTAAAAGATCTCTTTATAATGTACCCCGTGAGCAGGAAGCTGGGAATGGCATCAGTGTCAGTAGTTGTTTACTGGTTCTGATGGACCTTATAAAAAGGTTATTTTTCATAAGTGCTAGAATTTGAGCTCTTCCTATTGGAAGTGCTAATTAAAAGATCTCTTTATAATGTACCCTGTGAGCAGGAAGCTGGGAATGGCATCAGTGTCAGTAGTTGTTTACTGGTTCTGATGGACCTTGTAGATCTTTCCAAGTTCTCTGAAAAGAAGGGAGATAAAATGTTAGGCTCCGAAGCCAGCCCCTAACTTTAACCTAGTTTTAAGTTTTTGTCCCACATAGGCCTGCATTACAACCCCAGACTTCTAAACAATTCTATCTCACCCCTGCCCATTGTGACTCTAACACTTGCCGTTATTTTCTTGCCTTAAAAGCACCTGAGCTGTTCTGCTTCCACATTGAGCTGACAATTGAACATGGCTTTTAAACCCCTATATACTCTTCTATTACGCGCTCTCCTACCTCCAAAAGCACACCTATTTTTCAGTGCCCAGCGCCTCTCATGCTCCTCCTTAAGCCCTCCCTGCCTGGGACCCTGATGGTTTTGGCCTTTACCTGACTTGGGTCCTACCACAGAAGGTGTTATGGTGCTCATATTCAAATTTTGACTCTGCTGCTAATTAGCATGTGACCTAGGTAAGTCACTTGCTGACCTTAGGCCTATTAAAGAGGCAACTGTCCTTGAAGGCTCCTTGTGGTTCAATCATTACAGTACACTACTATGGGGTGTGTCCTGGTTTTGTCCTTTGCTACATCCTTGACCAAGTCACTTATCATTTTATTCGGTTTCTTTATCTGTGTAAAGGGATAATTTCTACCTCCTAGAACGTAGAAGAGATAATATGTGTAAAGTGTTAAGTATGTGCACACAGTAGGCACTCAAAAATAGAAGCTATTACCTGTCTCTGTTACTTATACTGTGTTACTATTTACTATTTCCATGAGTATATTTCACGTTCCTCCTAAATGATTATTACCCTTATCTAAGTCTCACAGAAAACCTTTGTGAAATTTAGGGTTTTTTACAGACTCTGAGTTGAGGTCTGCATTCAAATTTTGTGCTGAGGAATAACTGTAGGCACAGTCTATCCTTCCCCAAGACACAGGGAGACAGACATACTAAACTAGGACTCAAACTGGCCTCAGGTCTGAGCTCTTTACATTGACTGAACAGAAAATGAGGAAATCCAGAAGTGGAAGATATTAATAGTTAGAATTAACTACATTCCTACCAGGTCATCCAATCTCCTATTTCCTAAGCCATCAGCTTATCCTCTTTATCTACCAACCAGCTGATTCCAATTTTCCCAAGTACCACAAAAAAGTCTTTGCTAAGACAAGCTTTTCAGAAGTAGAAGGTGGCATTTATATCCTTAAATCTCTTCTAGATTATGTACTTTAAAGCTTTCAAGTATTTTCCATGTAACATATTAAACCGTTTGTTAAGAGTTTCCTCTTTACCTGACTTTGTCCAAGTTGAGAATCCTCCGTAAGGGAAGAGTCCCGCTGAGACAGACTGGGTGACGATGTTGAATCTGCAGAGGTGCTTGTAACCAATTCCCCTAAAGCATCGACTTGCCTCCTCAAACTGTGTAAAGTGCCCTCTGTCTGCCGCTTTCCTTTAATTAATACTTCTGCTTGCTTGGACATACAGTGTCGAAGTTGGGCCTGCAAAGTGTTACGATAACATTTAGGGTTTTACATAGAAGAAATGTACCAGAACTATTACCGAGTTCCCCATGTTAAACATTTGACAGGCCAATGCAACAAAGTAGGAATTGCTGCTGAAAATGTTCTTGTACTTAAAAAAAATTGTAGGAGGTGCCAGATGGAAAATCTGAGTGAATAAACTGACCACTCTGTGTTGTAATTGACTGGGCCTTTTACTCAGCCCCTTCCTTCTACTATAACAGTACTTAGGATTTTAGGATTTTGGCATCCCCTGCTTTCCCAATAAATTACTGCCTCATCTCTCTCTTCCTTGTCTGCCAAGACTTAAAAGACTAGTTTATACTTGATATCTTCAGTGTTTCGTCTTTATTTAATCCTCAACACTAGACTACTTTCCAGCTTTCCCCTATGCTGTAATCTTGAAATGATTCAAAGTCTATAGCACCACTGTCCAACAGAACTTTCTACAATGATGGGAATGTTCTGTATCGGGCTGTGAATATACTAACCACTAGACACAAGGCTATTGAGCACTTGAAATGTGGCAACTTAAGAAATTAATTTTTAGCAATTAAAATTTAACCACACGTGGATGGAGACCATCACTGGACGTCACAGCTCTGCTTACTCGATACTGCAGCACAGCTCCCTCTCAGCCCACGCTGTCTCCGTAGCCATTCCCCAAAGACGTATCCTATCCTCTTTTCGACTTCAATCACCTATACGGACTCTTCAGCTCCCACCTATACTCTTAAGCCCAAAATCTTCAGGTCAACACTGATCGTTGAGTCCTAAACTCCTATTTTCAGCTGCCTAAAGATAGGTATCCTTTTCTGGACGTCTCCCAGGGCCTTCAAACATAACATGTTTTGAGCCACACTCCTTATCTGACACTCAAGCCTACTTTTCCAGTATTCTCAATCTTTCTCCCAGCCACTGGCCTGTGATGTCCTTTTTGTGTCATTATGTCTCTATTTCCTGTTCCAAATACTTAGGTTCTGTCGGTTTTAGTTGAGGTACAGCAGCATTACATAGGTTAAAGAACATTGGACTTCACACCAGAATTCATGGTTTTGAACACTGATGTCATTTACTTTGTGTTGCCAGCTTCTTTGAGCTCAACCATGTAATCTATAAAACTGCTAGGAGTACTGCAACAGAGTTAATGTGAGAGCGGCATGTGAATGTAAGAAATTTCCCCCACTTTCTCCAACGTGCCAAGGATCTCATTTTTTTTTTTTTAAAGGCAACCTTGAGTCGATCTTCACGGTGCCGCAGTCTCTCTCGGAGTGCTTCTCCACGCCAGTGCTCATCCTTTTTCAGAGGGAAAAGACATCAGTGAGTCTCCAAGTACTACAACTGGGAACCAATCAGCCTTCCCCTCCTCCTACCCCAGCACCCCCAAATCTGTTTTTTAGTTTAACTGGAGAAGGTGTGAACCAAACTATCCTGTGAAGCACAGAGAATAGCAGGATAAGCCCCTACCATTATGTGAACTTGGGAAAAGTTCAGTTTTTCTTCAAAAGGTCTTTCATTCACGGTGAAAGGAAAGTTCTCTTTCAAGCTTTCCAAATCTCCTTCTAGGTTTTCGTCTCTTTCCAAAATAGCTTCTAGATCAGCTGGTAGTTCTGGAAGAAACTGGTTGAGATTCTTCAGGCTGGTTCTGATTTCATCTTTCACCTCAGATTTAAGTGTCCTCATTGCATCACTGATTTCCATTTGTCTTTTCTCCAAATCTTTTTGGTTTGCCATCTAAAGAGTGAATCTGAGTCAATACCATTGCATAAAGTTTGGGACTTGAGCTGTTTAATGTGTCACGTATTTAAAGATATACAAATAACAACTTCTAAGAACAGTAAAAACATGATTTTTCAAATACTTAAATATCATAAGCTACCAAGTAAATAGTTTTATTAAGCATTTTGATTGGAGCAGCCTCCATTTAGAAGAACATGTGCATAGTGTTCCTTGAAGGTGAATTATTCCACAGAAGTTAATCTCTCTGGAGTTAGAGCTTTTCACAATTTCCATAAAGAAATATTTCTCTAGCTCACTTGGTTACAGTGCAGTGCTGATAAAATCAACGTCAAGGGTTCAGATTCCCTTACCGGCCAGCCACCAAAAAAAAAAAGAAATATTTCTCTTAAAAGAGATATTAAAAACATTACAATCTGTTTGAGGCCTGCAGGGATTAGGAGTGCTTACTGAGTCCTCTGCCAGGCTGGCCAGCTGGGGTTCCTGGCACACACCTGTTTCTTGAGCTCCATGTACTCGTGCTGCATCTGGGTGAGCTCCTGCATCAGGCGCCTGGCCCGCTCATGGTTGTCCTGGGCGACCAGTTCGATGGAGGCCATTTCCTTCTGCATGCAGCTGTTCTCCTGCTTTTGCTCCTAGCACAGGAGGAGGAAAATGACTCTGTGGTCCAAGACATGGAGGTGTGGGTTACTGGCTTATACACTCAGTATCTCTGTAACTTCATTTCAGCTTTTCTAGCTGTGAAATGGGGATAATTCTGCCTTTTCTGGACAGGTATAGTATAGCTGGAAGTACATACGTGTCAGAGTCTATTTGGTACATATGTGCCAAAGTCTGAATCCCAGATCTGCATTACCTTTGATATTAAGTTACTTTCCCTTTCTGAGCCTCCATTAATTATCTATAAAAGGGGAACAATAATACCCACCATCAGAGGGTTACTGGGAAGATTACATTTTACGTATCTATATTCTATCTTTACAATCATCTTGCTTGTCACTAGTTGTAAGTGTATCACCCTTTGGGAAATACACATGGTTTAAAAGTTCCTTTCACACACAGGACTCCATTAATCCTCCAGTGGGTGATAGAAGAATACATTCCTGTGACAGCCCCATTGCTGCTGACCTATCTCCCCCCACCATAAATGGTTCTGAAGTATCTGTCACCACCCACATTTATTTCAGAGATAAAAGCATGGTAGACTGAGCTTCCTGGTTTTAGAATAATGATTAAAGCTAATATTGACTGAAAAGGGCAGGATGAGAAAAATTTGTAAGCACCTGACTGCAGCTACATAAAAATGGCTGCAGAAGCCTTCTCCAACCTTCCTCTGATTATCACCTGCCAGTGGAGGTGTGAGCAGAGGCTTGCTAGCAGAAGTGCTACTTTGAGCTGACACTGTCTGTTCACAGGACGGTCTCCCCAGCCAGGCAGATAGAGTTCCTCTGGGGCTGCAGCCCAGTCTCAGGCAAAACTTACCATCAGAACAAATCAAGAGCAAATGATGCATAAAAACACCAATAACAACAGCTGGATTAGGGCCCGGGTTGATGGGTAATTTATTTTCTCTACATTGCAGCAGTGTTGCAGTTTAAAAATTTAAATGTATCATTTCCTCATAAATTGCCAGGGCAGCAGGTACTCACAAGAAGGTTTTTCTCTAGCTGACTCCGCTGGATTTTAAGCGCTTCCTTCAGGCTGGCCACCTGCTTCTCGGCCTTCTTTCTTTCTGTCAAGAACTGGTTCCGCAGCAGGCTGAAGTCTGCCCTGATAGAGTCTGTCTCTTTCTGGAGAGTCAGCAGCTCACTTGACTTTTCAATTAATTGCTGTTCCCGCTCTGAAAGTTGCCGTTCTGAAATAAGCATTTTTAGTAGGTTTAGGCAGAGGCCCTGGGCTGGCTGTGGGCAGAGCTTTCCTTTCCTCGTGAGCAGACTGCCTAATGGTGACATGCCACCTACTCAGGTGTTTTCCTCCATTATCAAGTCTTGCAAGCCTACCCTGACGTATGCCAAAGGCCCAGATAAGGGTGTCTCCTGAAATAACTGGTTCCTGGAGGAATTGATCCCAAAATGACAGACAGCTACCATTTTCCCTTTCAAGTCTTTGAGACTAATGAGAGAAAACACAGCAGCAACCCTGAGGTGCAGGGAACATGGAACAGACTGCTGAAATGTTTTTTATAAACCTTGATTTTAATAAAGGGAGGCACACCAGTACTTCTTCCACCATAGGAGGTGGTACACTGGACATAGCACAGGATTTGGAGCTGGTTCGTACACTAGCATGAGCCCCTTTTTGTAGACAAGGAACTTATTTCCTGGTGTTCAACTGGAATCTCACTACATGCAAACACGTGGTACACAGTGAGTACTCATCAAATAATGCTTATAAATAAAAGGGACATTTAAAAATTTTTTTCAGGGACTGGCCCGTGCCTCACTCAGGAGAGTATAGTGCTGGTAACACCAAGGCCACGGGTTCGGATCCCATATAGGGAGGGCCAGTTAGCTCAATGGATTAGCATGGTGCTGACAACACCAAGTCAAGGGTTAAGATCCTCTTACTGGTCATCTTTTAAAAAATAAAAACTTTTTTTCTGGGGGCTGGCCGGTTAGCTCAGTTGGTTAGAACACGGTGCTATAACACTAAGGTCAAGGGTTTGGATCCCCATACTGGCCAGCCCCCCACCCCACCCCCAAAAAAGAGTTTTTTCTTATTAGCCTGCCCAGATTTTGCTTTTCAATACCTCTAGCATGGTCAGAACTCAGCATATTTGTTTAGTTTCGTTTTCATAATGAAATATTAGGTCTGGGTATATCAAGCATTACCAGTGAAAAAGTTGTAATAACCCTTTCAGATCCCCAAATCCATAACATTTTCTGAGCATTATTAAACTCTGCAGTCTAAGAAAGAGAAAAACCATTTATTGATGTGAGAATAATAATTTACTCTGGATTCCCATGTCAACTTTGTTTATATGTTTCAAAAGAGAGCAAACTGACCCAAAAGGAAACCGGGATTCTGGTACCATTCATTATGTCAAATCTGGACAGAAGTGGAATTGTTAATATTTTTTTGACTAGCTGAGATGAAATGGATCATTATTCCCAAAGCTCATAAATAATGTACTTTAGAGTTTCTATTAGACCTTCTTTGCCTGAATGTTCCAGTTTCTTGATATAGCGTTCTCCAAAGAGGCAATTTGGTGAAGGAAAAAGACTTGCTAGTTAGTCTCAGGATCAAATCTCTTCTATGTAAAGATACAAGTTTCTTCTGTCTCTTTGAGCCTGTTTTCTCACCTCTCACAGGGATATCATACTGCCTGCCTTGCTTCTCTTGCCTCTTTCCTGGGCTCTGTCTGGGGCTTGGGTCTCCTTTATACAATTTACAAGACAACCATCAGAGCTAACCCCTGCCCCCCATCTCTCATCCCCAGTGCAATGTTCCAGAATACATACTGGTTTGGGACAGTGTCTTCTCCAGCGTTTCACCCCACCTCTCTTCTTCCTGCAGAGTCCTGACACGCTCTTCAGCCACCAACAGCTTTTTGAGCACCTGGTCCAGTTTGCTTTTCTGGTCTGTTAATTCTTTTTCCAGCTGTTGCTGCTGCTCCTTCAGTTTCACTTTGCTGGCTTCTAATTTTTTTTCTTCACTTTCTCTCTCTCTCTGGAATCTCTGAGACATCTTAATAGAGAATAACCTTAGTTAGTTTTAAAATAACAAATACTCAGTGTCCCAAATGAGGAAAACTTCATGGACACTAGACAGATTCCAGTTTAACAGGAAGTAGAAAACAGCTCACGGGAGAACAAAGTTAGTTCCTTTACAATGGTGGTCAAGCAGGGACTGGGAAACGATCTGGCCAGCAGATGAGGAGAGGATTGAAGCAGCAAATGGCATGTGGCCATTATGATTCTTTATAGGACTAACATTCTATGATTTTAATGGTCCATAAAAATTAATCCCAAGAGTCACAAAGATGGTGTAAAAGCCACCCTGGTTACATAGGGCAGTTAAACAACACATAGTCCCTTGGGGGATAAGTCTCAGCAGCTTTCTGCTGGAGTGGGGAAAGCTCATACAAGTAACAAAATGCTTCCTTTTATATAAAATCATATATGTATACTACCATTTCTTGTTGGGCTAGTTTGACCTTGCTTTCTTCGATCTCAGTCTGAAGCACTTGAAGTTGTTGTTGTTTTGTCTCCCCTTCTTTCTGACAGTTTTCAAACCTCTTTATCCATTCACTGATGTCCTTCTGGAGCCGGGTCTGCTCACTAAGCAGTACATCCTGACGCTTGGTGGTGTGAAGCAGGTCCTTTATGTGAAAGAACAAATTGAGACTACTAACAAAGCCATCTTTACTAAAGGTGGCCAGTGCCAATCTAGTATCTACTAAGGCTGACAAAATGAGAAGGATAAAAGTTCCATATCCTTTATTATCTCAACAAACTTATAGAAAGATACCCAGAAATCAATCTAATTATTGGCTCTCCTCTTTTTAGTACCTAAAAAATAAGAAGACAAAAGATGTCAAAACCTCAGGAAGAGGCGACTCGGTTCCTCCGAGCTTTATCTAGCTCCTTTGTCAGTGAGCTGGAATAAACAACACCCACCTCACAGGGTTGTTTAGAAGATTAAGAAAAATGGTATATAAGGCTTAATTCTTGTTGAAAATGAACCTAAAGTCAACCTAAATAACAAAAAAACCAAGTAGGCTGGTTCGTTTTCATACAAGCAGGTCCCACAGGGCCATTGACATAACACAATCATAACAAATAAAAATTTTTGTTTTGTTATTATCTGAAATATTTATATAGGTTCAAAAACTCAGAAAATAGTAAGTACTTTAAGAAACCCAAACTAAACATTTTTTTGAAAAAGTTAACTATATTTCTAACAGAAAATATTCATAAGAACCTGGGTAAGATTTTTTAAAAGACAGACGACTTTGATTTTAAATTTTATATGTCTTAGAAACACAGAATCCTAAATGTAAAAGGAAGAGAATTTAGATGCCTAATTGAATTCCTAATTTACATAGTGGAAACTGAGGCCCAGAACTTGTTTGAGGTTCTTTGAAATTCAGACTATAGCATTATTCTCACAGGACACTGAAGTACCTTTAAGAAGTGACGAAACTGCTATATTCAAAATCTGACAGACAGGCCCAGATCTGGTGGTCACTCTGTGGCTCAGAGTAATCAGATCCAAGCCCAGCCTTTGGAGCTGTCATCTGTGCCATGGATAAAAGATGGCCCATGGATAAAAAGATGGTCCTGAAGCCCCTAGGGGGGCAGCTGAGGGACTGCTGTTGAGCTCTGCTCTAGTAACCACCCTACTTACTAGCCTTGAGGAAATCTTTGTTTGAATCAAGAGTTCTAGGGCTAAATTAGAAAACCACTGCTCTGCACCAAAATTTTTATTTATGTTATGACTGTTATGTCAATGGCCCTGTGGGACCTGCTGTACGAAAAGGAACAGCCTACTTGATTTTTTTTGTTATTTCAACCAGTTGGCTGCATGCCTTCAGGATACTACTAGAAGATTACATTTGTTAACCTTACCTGTTTTGCTAGGTTCAAATGGTCTTGAACATTAGCTAGTTCCTCCCGTAGTGAGTTTACTGCTTCCTGTTTTTCTACGGAAATAACATTTTCATAAAATAAAAAATGCATACATATGTATTTTACAGATTCCCACCAGCCCCCCCAAAAAAAGCAGAGTAGAAGTCAATTTAAACTTATTTCTGTTACATGTATGACTACGCCACATAATCTTATTAAAGGCCAAAAGATAGAGTTACATGCACAACCCAGATGTGAGATTGAAGCCCAGGTTTCTAAAGACTTTCATGTTCAAAACCTCACAGTAAAATTTACAGGTAATATTTAATGTTGGTGAGGTGCATGGCTTAAAAACAGGTACCTTCTACATTGCTGGTAGAAATGTAAATTTAGATGGTTTTTCAGGAAGGCAATTTGGGAGTAAATTTATATCTATACTGGCTTTGTCAATTTCTAGCTATGTGGCCTTGAGCAAGTCACTTTTCACTTAAGCAAGTCCCAAGAAAATTAAGCTTCAGTTTCCTTATCTGTAAATGGGTAAAATAACAGTTTCTATCTCATGCATCATGCTTAGGACATAGTTAATGCTCAACAAATACATTTCTTAGCTAGAATTACTTAGCAATCTCTCCTAAATAAATCATCATGAATATTTCTAAAGGTTTGGTAATAAAAAATATCTTCATTTTTTTGCATCTTTATTTTTGTTTTTAAAACTACATGCATGCACACACAAACACACCCCAGGAAAAATCTAGAAGGATATTCACAAAACTGTTCACAGAAATTATCTCTGAGGTGTAAGGTCAATAGTAATTTTTATTTCGTTTTGTTGTTGTTGTTTTCTTTGAAGCTGGCCTGTATCCCCCTGTATCCAAACCCATGACCTTGGTGTTATAAGTCTGTGCTCTAAACAGCTAAGCTAACCAGCCAGGTTTTACTTCATCTTTTTGCTATATTTTTTAATTGTTCTTTAAAAAGCATGAATTTTTTAAACAGCTTTATTGAGATAAAATTCATATATCATGTGTGTCCTATTTAAAGTATACAATTCAAAGGCTTTTCGTATATTCACAAAATTGTGCAACCATTACCACAATCTAATTTTAAAAAGAACCCATGCCCATTAGCCTGAATTACTTCTGCAATAAGAAAAATCAAACAATTAAATGAAGACTCTAACAAAAAGGAAAAAAAAATCACATCTTTACTGTTCTGCTGCATCATACCTTGTAGCTGCTGCTGCATTGCAGAAATGTCATCATGTAGTGAGAGCTTGTCTCTGTTTAGTTGGTCTAGTTCCTGCTGCAGTTTTCTGACATTCAATTCCAACTTTTCTAAATTTGATTGTTCCATTTTGCTATTTTCTTCTGTAGCTGCTAAAACCCTACCTCACAGAGAATAAATCAGACTGTCAAATATAACATAGTCAAGCACACACACAAGATGACAGAGGAATAGTGTAACCCTTTTATAATGCACAGTTACGGAAAGTCTGAATGATCATAAATCTTAACAAAATTTTGGACATTTTAATGCATTTTCAAAAGAAATCTTATTATCAGCTTTCTAAAGAGGAGTTATTTTTTTTCAAAAAGTGACTCACTAAGTTTTATAAAAATCATGGTTATAGGGCCGAGCCCGTGGCGCACTCAGGAGGGTGCGGCGCTGGGAGTGCGGCAGTGCTCCCGCCGCGGGTTCAGATCCTATATAGGGATGACCGGTGCGCTCACAGCGCTCACTGGCTGAGCGCGGTGCGGCCGGTCTCAAAAAGGGCAAAAAAAAAAAAAAAAATCATGGTTATAAACATGAATAACATTCAGAATTCCAAAAATCTGACTGACAAAAATGGATTGCTAACCTACGATAAGTGAAAAAGCAGGAAACATGATTATATATGTACAACAGGATTTGTGCACATAACAGGCATGCACGAGCATGCTTTCTTATACATAAAGGGAGTCATATGGTGTGCACTTGTTTTTGTTTGGCTTCTTTCACTCAGTACAATTCCTTTGAGATTTATCCATGTTGCTGTGTGTATCAATACTTTTTATTGCGGAGTAGTACTCCACAGTATGAATATACAACAATTTGTTTATCCATTTACCAGATGATGGACATTTGGGTCATTTTTAGTTTTCAGCTATTACAAATAAAGCTGTTATGAACATTATTATACACTCTGTGTGGAAATGTGCTTTCATTTCTCTAGTGTAAATACAGAATGGCTGGATCTTCTAGTAGATGGATATTTGATTTTTAAGTAATTGCCAACCTGTTTTCTAAAGTGGTTGTACATTTTTACATTCTTATCAATCATATATGAAAGTTCCTCATTAACATTTGGTATGGTCATTTTAACAGGTATGTAGTGATATCCCATTGTGGTTTTAATTAGCATTTCTCTAATGATTAATGATGCTGAGCATCTTTTCATGTGCTTATCTGCCATCCATATTATCTCCTATGGCAAAATGTCTGTTTAAATTATTTGCCCATTTTAAAAATTGGGTTGTTTTCTTATTATTGAGTTTTGAGGTTTCTTTATGTATATATACATATATTCTGGATAAAAGACCTTGAGCATATACATGGTTGCAAACATTTTTCTCCCAACCTGTGACATGTCTTCTCATTACATTAACAATGCCTTTTGAGGAGCAGACTTTTAAAATTTTGATAAAGTCCAATTTTATCAATTTATTCATTTATGGATCATGCTTTTGGTGTCATACCTTAGAAATTTTTGCCTAACCCAAGGTCAAAAGTTTTCTTTTAGAAGTTTTATAATTTGCACTTTACATTTATGTTTTCCTCTATTTAAGTTAGTTTTTTTATACAGTGTGAGGTATGGATCAAGGTTCATTTTTTTTGGTTTTGGATATCCACTTGTTTCAGCAACACTTTTTTTTTTTTTTTTGTCCTTTTTGAGACCGGCCAGCCGCACCGCGCTCAGCCAGTTAGCGCTATGAGCGCACCAGTCATCCCTATATAGGATCCAAACCCACGGCGGGAGCGCTACTGCACTCCCAGCGCTGCACTCTCCTGAGTGCGCCACGGGCTCGGCCCTCAGCAACACTTTTTGAAAAAACATCTTTTCTCTACTGATAAAGATGCCTTTGTATCTTTGTCAGAATTAGTTGTTCACATCACATATGTTTGAGTTTATTTCTAGACTTTCTATTCTGTTCCATTGATCTATTTGTCTATCTTTATATCAATTCCAGGGCTTTATACTATGTCTTGAAACGAGATAGTATTTATTAGCCCTAAACTTTTCTGGGGGGTCAGCTGGACCATATAGGGATCCAAACTCTTGACCTTGGTGTTATCAGCACCGTACCCTACTGAGTGAGCTAACCGACCAGAAGCCCAAACTTTTGTTCTTAATTTTCAAAATTGTTTTGGTGTCATATCTAAAAAGTTACATAAATCTATTCTTAGCAACTGTGCATTTCCATACAAATTTTAGAACCAGCTTGTCAATTTCTACCCCAAAAAAGCCTACTGGAATTTTGAATATAATTGTTTTGAGTATATAGATCAATTTGAGGAGATCTAAAATCTTAACAATATTGTTTTCCTATCCATGAATGAGGTATATCTCTCCATTTATTTCCAGCATGTATTATTTTACTTAAAAACCACAACAGATTATTTTTAAAAATCTTTTGGTGTGGAAAAAAAAGCTACGAGGAGGGGCTGGCTGGGAGCTCAAGGTCAAGGGTTTGGATCCCTTAAAACCCAGCTGTCCGAAAAAAAAAAAGGTAGAAGGAAATTCACCAAAAAATGCTATCTGTGGATTGCATTATGATACTGAGTTTGTAGCGTTTTTTCTTTTCTCTACTTTCCAATGTTTTTATAGTATGTTTACAAAGCTTTGGACTTTGGACTTGAAGAAGTGCTCCTACAAGCTTGTTTTTGCTCTCACCTTCGGGTTTGTGCCAACTTCTTTTCCCAATTGTCACGTTTCTCTTGGAGATCTTCCTTTTCTTTGTTCAAACACTCAACACATGATTGTAATGTTTGTGTCTCAGCAGTCATTCGCTCTATTTCCCATTTGTCCCTCTCGAGGAGCTGCTTCTGCCACTCTATCTCCCCTCTCTGTTGCTGGGATGTCTGCTGCAAATTCTCTAACTCCAGTTTCTCCTAAATCAGATAAAAGAGGACTCAAATATCCTAAAAGAGAAAGACTATATTTTACTAAGGGTACAATGGCTTGCTTTTTTTGTTACCTCTAGCACTTCAACCTGAGTCTTCTCTAACTCAGACACCTTTTGATCATGTTGTAGCTTCAAACCTTGTAGCTCGTTGTTTTCTAGTTGCAACATGTCCAGAATATTCTTTAGTTCTAACAGACAGAAACAAAATGTGTTCCATGCTATTAACTGAACTTGGAAACATTTACAAAATGAAACAGAAAACAATGCTATATTGACTAATACAAGATAATCAAAAATTTCTGTTGAGCTGAATTAATGGCACTAATTAAATTTTTACAGAAAAAACCTCTCTAAAAGTATTATTAAATATAATTCAATTTGTTAAAAACATTTTAACAAAAACATTTAACAAATCTAATTCAAAAAGCATTTACCTCCACATAAAAGAATGACCTAAGAGCATTTTTATATGAATAAAAATTAACCAAATAGGAAAAGCTTTACAGACAGATTTATATAATAATTTTTGTCCTTTGAAATAGATATTTAAATATTAACTTTTGTCTCTTATAAAAATATTTGCTCACTGTAGAAAATTTGGAAAATACAAAAAAAAAAAGCATAAGAGAAAAAAATGAAAATACATAACTATCCCACCAAAGATGATCATAGTAGCATTTTGATGATCATGATTAATGATCACAATAGCATTCTGATGTATTTCCTTCCAGAAGCACACATAAACACTCACACAATTTTAAAATTGAGATTATGCTCCATATTCAATTTTTACCTATTTTTTCATTGTTCTCACGAGCATTTTTGCATGTTATTAAATGTTAAAAAATATAGCTTTAAAATTGGTCATTTGTTTCCAGATTTTGTCATTATAAATATTGCTGTGATACACATAAATGCTTGCCCTCTCTGTATCAGCAGAAATGGCCTCACTGGTTCAATCGGTGTGTATTCAAATAGGTGTGATCTGAAACACTTGGAAACTGTACTTCAATTGACAGTCTGCAATTGCTCTTCTTTTAGCACACTCTGGTCAGCAATAAATATGATTATTTTGTTCTTAAATAAACCTTATCAACTCAAATGGCAGAAAATAATATATTCCTTTTAAAATCTGCTTTTCTTTGCTTATTGGTAGTAAGGTTAAACTTTTAAAGAAGTTTATTTCATCATTTGTACTTTTTCTGTGACCTGGAATATAGACATTTCCAACCTTAAACTTTATATGGTCGTTTTTCTTTAAACTTACCAGTTTTATGTTTAGCCATCTGCCCTAAAACTAACTGAAGATTTTCTTCCTCTTTTTCAATTTCCTGCTTTATAAGTGCAAGTTGAGTTTTTTTTTCACTAATCTGGACATTCAGTTCTCCTTTCTGAAAACTCAGTTCTTCCAGAAGAGCTTTTACTTCCTGTGTTTAAAAAAAAAAAGTCACCCCCCCCCTGAAATTATGAATGGAAATTACTTAAAATCAGTTCTGCTACTGTCTTATTTCATAGACATTATAATTTAAAAACAAGCTCATTTTTGTCTCATGTCAAAAACAGCACTATATTTTGCACTAACATATTTCTGTATAATAGAAGAAAGTAACATCTTCATTTAAATGTGTATGTAACATTTACTATGTGCGAGGCAATGTGTCGTAGAGAAAAAAAGGTGACTCAGACTTGGTTCCTGCAAAGGCAGAGAATGAAGCTGGGCATGAGAAAAGGGTGGGATCCGGCTAGTGACAGAGAAAAAAGGGAATTCCCGGAGAAGAAATGGTACGAGAACAGCACAGAGGTGTGAGAATTTGGGGCATATCCAGAAAACAATATGGGGGGAGCTAAACATGATAGCCACAGCATGGATACATAATACAACACCAAATTGATGTTATAGAGGAAGTAAGATTCCAGGAACTTACATTTTCTTTGGGGGAGAACTGATGAAAATACCTCAAAATAAATCTATAGCATTGTCCTAAGACTTATGAAAACCTGGTGAAAAACATACCCTAATGTGATTACATTTCTCAGCTACTTCAGTTTCTCCCAGTCTCAGAGCTTCCTGGAGGTCAGCTTTTGCCTGGACCATGCTTTCCTGAAGTAGATGCAGCTCTTCTTTTTTATGCCCTAACTGCTTGTCCAAGACAGCCATCTCCTGCTGCTGACTTGTCACCTATATTAAAGAATAAGGAAGAATGCAAAGTTTGATAAATCCTATGCAGCCTTCACTGCTAACCTGGGGATTATTTAGTTCAGCCAAATGTTCTGAAGGAAAATCAGGAGCTAATATCCTAGCCCCAAGAATCAGGAAGGCCAGGCTGGGGGTACAAGCATAAAATGCCTAATAAAAACCTTGAGTTCACATACTTAAAAATTACTCAAATCATAGCAACAATAATAGAATAATAATGATTATCACTCAGTTATGGTTTTCAAAGAATTTTCATATCTATACCTTACTCCACAACAACCTTGACAATGGAAGTTAGGTAGGGATTTCAAAATTTAATTCACTTTTTAAATTTAAAAATTACTTAAAATTTTAAGGGAAAAAGCATATGTGTTTATAGAAAAAGCACACAAGGTAGACATGCAAAAGAAAGAAAACAGAAAATACTCATAGTTCCCTCTTTATCAGATGACCACTTTTGTACTTTGGTATTAACTAAAAATACTAACACAAGTGTTCAAAAACACATTTAACATAAATGATCTCAAAACATAGAGGATACCATGTTTTGAGACACTTCTTTTACTCAATAATATATTGAGTTGGAATTCAAATTCAAATTGGACTCTATACTTAACCACTATGATATAGCCTCACGTATTCTTTATCCTTCATTTTGTATTCTCTAATCTTTACTACAATAAAACATGTATTACTTTTATAATCATAAAACACATATAGGTTTTAAAGCAATCTGAGTTGTTTTTTTTTTGAAGGCATCTATTGTGATACCTGGCTTTTCAGCTTCTCCAGCTCAGTTCTCTTGGCCTGAAGGAGGGTCTCAGATTCTTTAAGGACCTGCAGGTGGTGATCTTCATTGTGTTCTGCTGTCTCAATGTCTTTCTGCAGTTTCTGAAGCCTACAAAGCACCAGCAGTACTAGAGAAGATCCTAAGGAGACTGAACCCCAGAGCTATTTTCCAGCACAAGTCCCTCACAGCCCAATAGTAGCCTTACTTACTCTTCCGTCAGTTTTTCCTTTTTCTTGTCTAAACACTGGAAGTCTAAGTCTTTTGCTGCTACAGCTTTGTTTATTTCTTTCAAGATTTCTTCTTGCTTGAGTTTGTGCTGCTCCAAATCCTCTGCATCAGCCTGGAGCAATCTAAAACACATCGCTTTATTGCCCCCAAGCCTCTTAGACTTAACATGCATTATTTATCATAAACCGATTATGATCCTCTTAGAACCCAACTTCTCATCCATCTCACTGTATACATCATTGGCTTAGGGATTCCACATACCTTAGCTGCTGATCAGCTTTGACAAGGTTAATAGCAGTTTCCTGAGCTCTCCTTTCTAACTCCTCAGCATCTGACTCAGTTTGCAATAAATTTCTCTTGGCATCAGTGAACTTTTCAACAGCATTTTTTGTCTAGAAGAGAAATTGTCATTAAAAGCAACTCAGTTACAATACTCACTAACAGCTATTGGCACTGAAATTGGTACAACTCTTTTGGAAAATAAGAAGACAATAAAGAAAGACATAAAATGTCATTTTACTTTGTCCAATTCTCAGAAAATAATTCAGAAGCAAAGAATGACTACATAAAAATGCTCATTGTATATTTAAATAATATAAATCTTGACAAATAATAGATTAATTGATAATGCATTAACACAATGGAATACTGTGTAGCCTTTAAAATGGTAAGATGACAATGTAGCAACATGGAAGAATGTTAATGATATTATGTTGGCTGAAAAAAAGTAAAAATGGATAAGCACTGTAGAGCAGCTATGTAAAACTATATATCAACGAAGATAGAAAGGCTATGCAAAAATAAACACAGTCATTCGGAGGTGGTGAAACTTCCTTCGAATAACTATGTAAGTAGTCTTTATTTAAAAATAATCTGTAATATAATTGTTTTTTGTATTAAAACTATCTAACCAATTAAGTGGCAATGAAGTGATTTTGCCAAGATCCCCTCCTCATAGAGATTACTGCAGTACTCTAGATATTATCAAGTTAAGTAAAAACTCATTAATCTGATAATTTAATTATGGCTGAGAAATATAAATAGTAAGTACTTTTAAAATATTTAAAAATCTTTTTATATAAGATTTGGCAAAAACACTTGACTTTTTTTTTTTTTTTAATCAACTTGGTTTCTTTTTCTGCCTAAAAAAAGAGGCTTAAAGCAATGTCAAAGAAGATCAAAAAATAGAGTTTGGTTTGCATTTAGTTGAGCAGTAACTTCAGCCAAAAAACTGAAGTTTTGCTATTATACTAAAGTCAGATATGTTATAAAATCTGTATGTTATAAAGTCTGTATGTTAAATTTGACTACTAAATATCCAAAGTGGATGCGAAAGGGTTGGCAAGCTCCCAAAGAGCTACATATTTAACCATACTTCTTTCCATTTTAGATAGTTTCAGTTTCATCAGGAAAGCACTGGACAAAATTCACTATGCATTCCAGAAGACCATGTTTCTAAGTAGTTTTTGTCCCCTATGTCAGGTTTTAACATGTCTGGCACATTCCTTATAAAACACAGCTACTCCCTCTCTCTCCTTGTCCTTCTTACACCAAGCTGCCTTCCTGAGTCGTTTTGGGAGGATGAAGGAGAAAAGGCTTATCAGCCTTGGTCCACTTACTACCTCTGCCTACTAACCAGTTTCATCAATTTTCTGTAATATACCAGTGATAATTTTTTCTCTAGTTCTACTCACACCTATTTTTTCTCACAGTAATCTAACACGTTAAACAGAAGGAACTGCTCATCTGAAAAGAGATGAGGACTTTTTCCATTCTTATTAAAGCTATTACAGAATTTCTTGAATAATTCAAAACTCATTCATTTTAGCTCCTGGGTAATTGATTTCTATTAACTTAAATAGATCCATGTTGAAATAACAATATAAAAAAAGAAGTTCCTGAGGTGTTCATGCCTAAGAGACTTTTTTCATCCTGGAATTCTCACCTAACTGAAAAAGCTCTTAGAGAGGCAAAACTTTAGCTGTGTGACTCTGGGTCAGTTATAAGCATCTCTGAGCTACATCTGAAAACTGAGCTAACACCATCTTACAGGACTGTTAGGAAGGTTAAATGAAGTAGTATTTATAAAACGGTCAGGGCTGGCTAGTTAGCTCAGTTGGTTAGAGCATGGTGTTATAAAACAGTCAATGTGTAGCCATAGTAGGGTCTCAATAAATAGTAGCTCCTTTTTCTCCCCAACTTCCTTCTGTGTTATAGTCTAAAGAATATTAACTCACCCTGTACCAGCCAGGAAAAAAAAAAAGATTACGATCTCAGACCAAAAAATATTTTATATCATTATCAACTTGGAGAAAAATGTGAGACTTGTGAGGTCAGTTGTAGCTTAATAAGAATATAAGCTTGACCTATTTAAAAAACACAGATATCAGGGCCCAAATAATAAAAAAAAGCACATATACAGGATAAGGAAGTGGGGTGTGTTGGGAACTAAACAACTTCAGGAGTTTTAAATATGGGATTTCATCTCATTCATACTGAACAGCCTACATATTCTTAGCCTGAATTTACAGATGAGGAAAGCAAAGCTTGGAGACTTAAGTGACTTGCCCAAATTCTCACAGTTCTTTAAATAGCAGTCCAGCCTGGAACCTGGATGTCTGACTTGGACCACTATGGTCTTTATCACATATTCTCTTTCTAATCCTTCATGCAGATGACAGTAAGCCGTCTCACTCAAACTGAGCTCACACCCAAAACCACAATAGTACATACTTTCTCTTTTGTGCATGAAAGTTCATTCTCAGCCTCTGCCAGGAGTCGGTCAGCTTCCCTGAGCTCTGAGCGGCGTTTCAGAAGGGTCTTCTCAATGCACTCAATCTCATCTATGATATCTTCATGGTGTTTGAATGATTTTTCTATTTCTAGTTCAGTCATAAGACTCTCAACATTTCCATCAAGGAAGTCCCTAAAAAAAACCCATATATATATATATACACATTAAGAGATTTTAAAATGTAGACAATTGTAGTCTAACTACTTAAAAGAAGTACAATTATTTTCAAATTTTATACGAGAAGGGATAAGAGAGGCAGTTACATCTAATTATGTTCATGGTCTATGTTTACCTTTTTATTAAATATGGTGGTATTACTGGCAATAAATGCATAATATGTAAAATGCATGATGGACTTGTTTGTCCTTTTAAATATAACAAAGATTATCATGTTGTCAGCAGTTGGGAAAAACAATGTTGATACCTCTATTCTTCTGAGGTATAAAAATAAAACAAACCACTATCACAAAAATCATCCATTCCCTCAAAATTATTCTTCAAGGCCCAGTTCACAGGCTGCTCTGAAGACTACCTGACTTTGTGATTTATTCTGTTTTGCTAGAGTAAAACTATGGTGACAATATTTCGCAAACCAAAAAGTATGACATACGATTCAATAACTCAAAGCTAACATGTCAAAATTATTTGAAAAGGGTTCTATCCATGAATGCATGGCAGAAAAATATGAAAATAAATATAACATGTTAACAGATTATTTCTCTCTAAATGAAGGCATACAGATAATTTTTACTTTCTTTCCTGAACATTTTTCTGTTATACAAATTTCCTTGATCATTTATTACACTTTTATAACTAGGGAAAGAAGTGATTATCCTACTGCTCCCTATCATCCCCCTCAAAAAACCTCATACTATAAAACCTCCCCCCCAATATACATACCCACAAAAATAGATATATCCACCCCCGCAACCCTCAAACATCTAGTTCCAATCTTCTTCTGGGTGTAACCCTTGCTTTCCACTGCCAAGTCTACTGGTCAGTCACGGGTCTGCTCCTAGATGGTAGCAACCATGTCTCACTTACCTCTGTGTTCTCCACAGGCCTCCCTCCCACCCTGAGGCCTGGGCCAGTCTGGATTAAATGACAAAAAATGGAGAACTGTCATAATTCATGGGCTACTGCAGAAGATGGGCTTGCAAATAACTGACCAAATCAACAGATGCTGCATTTATTAACTGACCACGGCAGATGCTGGGACATGGAGATGTAGGTCCAGCTACTGCCCTCAAGGAGCTCCTGGGCCCCTCACAACATTTTATGAACAGTGCTACCTTGAAATTGTGGGTGCCTAAGAACAGAAAGGCTTGTGTAAGAGGAGATTCCTAACCTTGTTTTAAAAGACAGAGTCAGAGAAGACATTTCAGGTAAAGGACAGCACATGCAGAAGGAAGGAGAAAACATGGTGCTTGGGGACACTACAGGAAAGTAAGTGGGCCAGACCAAATACTGTGTGTGGGAGAGAAGAATAAACAAGACAAGCAAGATTCAAATCATGGAGGGTGGTGTATATTCTAAAGGGACTGAGAGTCATGTGACAGAGTGGCATAGTCAGATCTGCAGCGTGTCAAGAAGAGTGGAGACAAAAAGACAAGATATGGAAGACCAGTGTAGAAGCTATCAAAATGACCTAGGATGAGACTGATTAAAGGCCAGAGCAGCAGAGATGAGAGAAAGGGACCAGTCTGAGACTCTTTGAATACAGAGTCAGCAGGACTTGGAGACCAACTGGATGCTGGGGGAGTGAGGGAAACGGAGGGGTTGAGAACCCCTGCCAGGTTTCAGCTAGGGTAACTGGAGAGGGGGAATGGTTGCACCACTCTCCAAGAGGAACTACAAGAAGAGCTGATTTCGATTATCAGCCAAGAGAACTTAGACCTGCACTGTCCAATATGGTACTCACCATGTAGCTATTAAATTAATTAAAATTAAATTAAATTCTGTTTCTCAGTTCCGTTAGCCACATGTGGCTGACTAGTGGTTACTGTTTTGGAGAGTAGAAATCTACAGCATTTCCAAGATCAGAAAGTTCTATTGGATAGTGTTAATTTAGGTTATCTTAATGAACTAATATTATATTAATCTGAACTATAAAAATATAATGGCTAATAATACTTTTGCTGTTGATGTTTCCGGATGGTTCTATGTAATTCTTCTACTTCATGCTCTAAGTCCTTCTTCTCTTGCAAAAGACAATCAATATCATGATGCAGTTCTTCCATTTCTTGCGTTCAGGATATCACACATTTACAAATAGGTCGACTTATTATTTTTTTTTTTTGTCTTGTGACTGGTAAGGGGATCACAACCCTTGGCTTGGTGTTGCCCGCACCGCGCTCAGCCAGTGAGCGCACAGGCCATCCCTATATAGGATGCGAACCCGTGGCGGGAGCGCCGCTGCGCACCCAAGCACCGCACTCTCCCGAATGCGCCACAGGGCCGGCCCTAGGTCAACTTATTAAGTATATATCTTATCAGTCACCCATGGAAACAGTGTGGATAGAGGGTCATATGTCTTTCCACTTACTAGGTTATGGTGTTCTGGGACGTTGCAATGCAGTACTCCCACGGGGATGAAGGGGACAGAGAAGTTTCGGGGTGGAGGCCCATACACAATGGGGGCCCCGGCAGGAGGTGGGCCATATACAACAGTGCCAGGGGTGAGGGGTTGGCTATTGTTGGGCAAGGGAGGAGGCGGTGCATACAGGGCCACACCCTGGGGTACAGGAGAACCATCAGGAAGAACAGTATACATCATGTATCCAGAAGGAGGCACAAATGGGGGTTCCTCTTGGTCATCCAGCTCACTCTCTTCCTGGCTATCTCCTCCACTGTCTGCATCTTCAAAGAAATAAACAAAAGAGTGTTTAACCCCCATGGGGTAAAAACTAGGAAAACAGGTTTAGTAGAGAACATCAGCATTAAGACCAAGATACTAGAGATGTGAAAATAAAACTTCTAAAAAAAGGTCAAAAGCAGTTTTGAGAAGATCAAAACACAGACTCAAAGAATTTTCAGTGTCTAATACTTGAGTTTTTCTTACGCCTGTTAGTTTGTTTCTTTGTTCATTCATTCACTCATACATTCAGCACCCAACTGGGTACCCTGCTTCGCAATATGTAAAAGAACGAAAGAGATGTGCTGTGAGAACTCATAGCACTCAGCGTTTACCGCTGTTGTGACACATAACACTAATATGATGGCCTACTTATCTCCCCTAAAAACAGGAACTATGTTTGCTTATCACAAAGAGAGAGACTCTAGAACACAGCAGGCATTCAATAAATTGTTCCTGAATAAACAAATTCTCAGAAGGTAGTATTCCCATTTTACAGATTAAAAGTCTCAAAGCAGCTAAATAATTTGCTTAAGATCTCATAGCTGCTAAGTTAAAGAGCTGGGATTTATCCAGGTTGGATTCTTCCCCCGGAGTTTTGGAAGACAGACCTATAACACTTCATTTTAGCAGAGAGAGATTAATGGAATGAAACAAGGATACAAGGCACCATGGTCCAGGAGTACAAGCAAAGAAGCCACTCAGTCGGCCTGGGTGAAGCACATTGGAATAAGACTCCATAAAAGGTTGAGGACCCGGGTCTTCTTGAAGGATGAGTAGGAATCGGTTTGGGAGAGGATGGAGGAAGGACATTCCAGACACAGGGTTTAAAACATGGAGGTTCGAGGATCCTGGCATGTTGTAAGTATCTTAAGCAGTCAGGTAATGGCATGGAGGAGTGGTGGGAGCTGAGACAAGAGGACATTGGCCAAGACCAGATCCCAGAGAGCTTCACAAAGCAAGCTAAGGAGTTTGGACTGTGTCTTACAGGTTTCAAGGAATCGATAAAAAGTGACTGAACTGGTAAGAGAAACGCAACTTCCCTTATGGGATTTGACCTACCTCTATTTGAAAACGATTTATGTAACCCACTCCTGATGGGAGAATAAACCCAGTATCCTGAGGCAGGTGGAAGACCACTGCCTTCTTTTCCTTCTTGCTGCCCAGGATGTGGTTTTCTAACAGGAGTTGAGGCTGTGTACTTTAGGCCGACACCAGAGTCCTTGGTTGCCTGGGAACTACGGCTGGAAACCTAAAATAAATGATGAGCATACTATCGATTATAAAAGGAAAGGCTGATTCTGAGAAATGTCCAAGTCTAATGCAAAGTTGAGATGTAGCAAAGTTGTTTTCTTTTCATTATCATAATCCTCATTTTTCACAGACAAGAGTTAGAAGTAATCACATGGTCACATAAACTGCAGTTCCTTACACACAGTTCAGTTTATTTCCCTTTGGACTTGATCAACATGGCAGTGTCAGGGAGTCTGTGCAGAGAGGAGGCTGTGTGTGCAATGGCTGGGGTCCCATCAGACTGGTCTGTGCAAATGAAGGGCTTGAAGTGTGGTGAAAGCATCAGACCCATATCGATGTCTTTTTATCCCATCAGAAATTATTTAATAACATCTATCTCCTATGCTGTCTTTCTGTACAATTTTCTGGAAGTAACAAGTCCTTGGCCATGCTAAAATGTGAAAATCATGTTATCTGGCTCTTTGGGTGAATTTTATGCTGCAATTCCCAAGAGGGAAATGAAAACAAGTTTCTCCATATGTCATCAGACTTCTAGGTGTCAGCCTCTCTTCTTCCTGTACTCATCTTCCTTGGTTTCTTTTCTTTTGCCTTGTGCTTGCTGGCCCAGCAACTGAAGCAAAGGAAATCCATGAACTCTCAAAGGAATCTGGGGATATTAATCTTCTGCTGTCCTGGGAACTTGGCATGGCTTTAAAGCTCTCTGCTACTCTCCCTCTCCTTCCCAGTCTGTAAGTCTAGGCTCCAAACTTTCATCCACCTTACCCAGCTCACCGTACTTTGTTCTGACTTACACTGCTTCCACCTCCAGCACTGGTTGTGCCAAGGATGGTACTTCCTTTAGATTTCTAGAAGGATCTCAGATTCTGCTTTTTGGGGTTCTACCTAAGTCTACACAGCCCTGGGATCGTACTGTGTCTGAGCTGTTTGTCCCTGACTGTTACTTGTTAGCTGACTCTAGCAGGATGTCATCCACCCCCCCTGCTTTGGATGAGTACAGCTTATAGTCCTCTCCTCCCTTCCCACATTCAGGCACCAAGCTCTGATCATTCTGTCTCCTTTAACATCTCTTAATCCCATCTCTTCTTTTTCAGCTTCACTGATCTAGCTCTGGCTTCTTCTATCCTTCACGTGAATGCATTCAAACAGTCCCATAAAAAGCTCGCCCTTCCACAAGTCTATCCACCACACTCAGCCAGAATATACTTCCTAAACTATAGCTCTGATCATGTTAACACACAACCCCAGTTTCCTATGGCCTACATAACAAAGTGCAAAAGATTTCAAAACTCTTTAAAAAAGCATGACCCCAATCTACTTTTCCAGCTTCATCTTTTATTGCTCCCATCAAACCCTCCCAGTTTCCTATGGCCTACATAACAAAGTGCAAAAGATTTCAAAACTCTTTTAAAAAGCATGACCCCAATCTACTTTTCCAGCTTCATCTTTTATTGCTCCCATCAAACCCTCCAGCCCCATGAGGCTACTTGCCATGGCTAAGCCAAGTCTTCTCTTCCACACAGCTGTTTCCTCCCTCCTAAAAGCCCATCCTTCACTGCTTGCTAAGTGCCAACTTCAAGACCCGGCTTGTGAAGTTTCTTCCTCAACTTCCCCATGAGATGAATCCTTAACACTTCTCTGCAACTACAGCACACATGTCAAATCTGTTGTCACTGTTTTGTAACTACACTGGTATGGTCCATAAGCTCTTCGATAGCAGGGGCTATATCATTTCATCGTTGTAGCCATGCATGTCACTGTTTTGTAATTACACTGGTATGGTCCATAAGCTCTTCGATAGCAGGGGCTATATCATTTCATCGTTGTAGCCACCACTGACTAGCACTTGGCTTAGACTTCAGTAAGCACTGAGTGAATGTCTGTTAAAAGGAAATGAAGTCCACGTGCCTATTTTTCTGTTTGAGCCTCTGCACAATTCTATAACCATTTTCAGCAGGTACTCTGGGCTCGTCACCTTATCCCTTTATAGCATCCTCATTCAGGGACCCCAAAACATACCTCCTGAGCATGAACAGACAATTGCCATCTTCCCTGGGAAGGCCCTATTTTCATCTCAAATATTAACAACACTGAAGAACCTCAATGCGTCATTTAGCACAGAAATGTTCTTGGCACCTTGTTCACAAATTTGGGGAAGGGGACAATGTCACACTTCAAGAAAATTCAGTATATACTCCCAGCACCACAGAATTCCTACTTTTGATGATGATGGTGGTGGCATAAAGTACCAATAGCCTCGTCTTTTGAAAGGATCTGCCATGCTGCTGATGTAATCATTCTGATAAGAAACTTCACGTCGGAGTTCAGCAATTTCTTCTAAAACATTTTCAAAGCTTCCTTTGTTGTCTGTAAAGGAAAGCCATTCTATGAGGTTGATATGAAATCGCCTACTTTCCTTTTCTCTCAAAATAAAAAAGAGTCCATGACAGCCAATGAATTCTATGAGTTCCAAAGCTGACTTGGCTGCCTACCCCTTGGTAATTAGTTTTTGCTAACACTAAGAGGACAGGCACATCCTTCTTCCCATTAATTATGAAGTCAGTCAGAAAAAGCAATAAACAGATTTCCTTTGAAATTACAAATACAAACCTCTTATCTCCTTGTAATCAAGTCCCTCAATATCACACTTACACAAAATGTTTTTTAAATTCTTTTATTTTTCTTATTAAGCTAATTACCACGGCTCTCTAAATCAAGCTTGAAATTGATCTGCAATAGTTAAATACATTTTCTAAAGGTAAAAAACAAATAAGATAATTTTAGAACTATAAAACCACTGCCAAAATCAAGCTCAATACTTTACCAGCCCCAGTGAGGTCTAGTAAATTCCGCAGCCTTGCAATCTCTGTCCTTTGTCTCTCCATTGTCTCATTCAGTTTCTCGATTTCTGGAACCTGTGAGTTTGCTCCTCCAGTACCTACATCTGCTTTCTCCCTCTCAATTCGAAACTATTAAAAAAAATTACACACACTAAGTTGCCAATGAATTCTTTCCCAGATGCATTGATCCTTGCAACTTGATTATAATTCTATAATCTGTATTTACACTTGACCAGTGAGGAAACTGCATTACTCCTTGTACTTAAACTGCACTGTGCCTAGCACACAGTAGAGAATAAAGTTCTGACTGACTATTGATTGCAGTTCAGAATTCACTGAGATGCCACCCACAGTAATTTAGCCTTTCAGGACCCAGTAAGAAGGTCATCTCAGGGTATCAGCACCAACCTGCTCCTCTTTCTCCCTGAGAAGATTCTGTAGGAGTTCGATCTCTGCTTCTGCTCGGGTCAGATCCCTGGCTGCTTGTGCGGCCCTTCTGCTGAATCTCTCTGCTTCCTGCAACTCCTATTGGGACAAAGATATAAGAAAGACACCACTGCTATCATAGGTTGTCCTCTTCATTTCTTCTTCCTCTCAGATGGACTCTGCTTTTGTCACACTGCCTGCCTGGCTGGCCCATGCACTGTGGTGTCAAGGCCCACCTTCCCCTGTGTTGTTCCCATAGCTGGGCAGCCTGCCCCAACCCTCTAGGGGACCAAGTGGGCATCAGAAAGAACAAGTGCTAATTTTTTCTTTGCTGTTCTAGTCTTCAATTACCGGTCTCTCTGGGGCCTCATCATTAGATTTTTTCTCGAATGATCTATTATCTTAATCTCATTAGCATTTGTATCCTATAAAGCACCATAACAGACATTCTCTGAGTCAAGAGTCATAACACCCTACAAGGTTATATATATATATGTATATATATTTTATTTTTTTAAAAGCATTTCTTTGTATTTTTATTGAATTTTTTTTTTAATTTCTGCCCAGTTATGACAATGAAATGGGAAATCACAATTACAATTCACAAATGGTGCCATGAAAAACAACACATGCCCCATCAGGAATTACACAGAACCCTTTCCTTTTTATTCATTCAAAATAGAATCCAATGCATGTGTCAAATATGAGCACTGTTTTTTTTTTCTTAGAAGGGAAAAAACATTTAATTCTGGCAGCACTTTTAAAATTCCAGGAAGTGGTTTTTTTTTTTTTTTTTTGACTGATAAGGGGATCGTAACCCTCGGCACGGTCTGGTCTGCACCATGCTTAGCCAGTGAGTGCACTGGCCATCCCTATATAGGATCCGAACCCGCAGCCTCGGTGCTACCAGCGCCGCACTCTCCTGAGTAAGCCACGGGGCCGGCCCCAATTCCAGGAAGTGGTTTTGATTGAGGTAACATATATTCATACGACCGTACATGATGAAAAATTTGAGGTTCAGAGGGATTATATGGCAAGCCTTCAACCTTTGTTCAGGTACATACTGACAATTACCTCCCTAAGCAGATCCCTGCATTTTAAGGTAGGGATAGTATGTTACATCTGTTTCATCCGATGGTTCCTTTTAGGACTCAATAGAGTACAAGGCCCATAGCAGCACAAAATACATTCTTGAGGGTTGTGATGGGGGAAATACAATCTTCAGGTCTTAAAGACAACTTTATAGCGGTTTATAAAATAACCAAAGTCTGTAACAAGAGACCAATAGCACAAGTTACTATGTTTTTGACAGCAGCAGCACTGGTGGAAACTTGTTCTGTATATGTGGACTCACCTCTGCTCGCTCCTGGTTAATTTTCATAACAGTTCCATGAAGGGATTTAAGCTGGTCTTTTGCAATGGTGAGCTCAGCTGTGGCTAACTTATCAGAGGCAGCCACAGCTTTTTTTAATTTCTTCAATTCTTTACCCAAACCAAGAAACTGCTCCTGAGATTTGGCATCTTCAAGTTTCTTCTAAAATAAAAGATACATTAAAAAGATTAATCATTTGGTAGCAATGAATTAAGATGTAAGCTCCAGGAGGGCAGGGACTCTGTTCACTGTTGTATGCCCCACGCCTAGAACACCTGATACAGAGTAGGTGCTCCATAAATATCCACTGAACAAATAAGTAAATAATCTCAAAACGGAGATAAACATAGAATCATTCTTCTTAGTCAAGAATCTTAGTGATCATTCCTTCACTGGAAAAACATTTCCTGGCATTATCACCAAGAAATGTATGGACCAGCCATTGAAATCACTGAATTAGGCCCTGGGCGTGTGGTGGTGAAGAAGGAACTTGGCATTTCTGAGGAATTGAAAGAAGGAGCACAGTGAGAAAAGGAGAGATCTAAACAAAGGCAAATCATGCAGGTCCTCGTTGAAATCACTGAATTAGGCCCTGGGCGTGTGGTGGTGAAGAAGGAACTTGGCATTTCTGAGGAACTGAAAGAAGGAGCACAGTGAGAAAAGGAGAGATCTAAACAAAGGCAAATCATGCAGGTCCTCATATGCTTAAGAATTTTGGTCTTTATCCTAAAAACAATGGCAGCTTCAGGGAGAGGAGGGACTGACAACAGCTAATTCACATTTTAGAAAGACCATGTTGGCAGCTCTATGGAGAAGGGTCAGGGATAGAAGTGGGAGATCCATCAGGTGGCCACAGCAGTTATCTAGAAGAGAGATGACAGCTAGATGAGGATGGTGGCATCAGAGAAGGAAAAAAGTACATATATTCCAGATGTATTTATGTATTCAACAGGACTTGGGGACTGACAGGTTCTCAGAGAAGTATGAAGCAAGTTATTTGCTGAGGCTGGAAGGGAGATGGCAGGTGGAAGGAGGGAGAAGGTATGAACAGTGGAGCGTGGGAGAGTGAGCTTACCAGAGAAAAGGGTCATGTGCCCATTTGAGGTTGATAACCATAAGTTTACAGTGATACCACTATGCTGAATGGGTGATTTCTCCAGGAATACCTAGCATAGGAGCAGGCCCAAAGAAAGCAGATGGTTTCAGTTTTGTCAGGGAAATAAGACAGAAGAAAAGGGGAAAGGATTTGAGGATATTTGCAAAAAATGGCTACAGTGGTAGACCATGAAATTTAAGTTAAACAAAAAGGAAAATAAAGACAGGAAGGGCTTAACAGATAGAAAAGATAGGGCTTATGAATTAGAATTTCAATAAGGTTAAAAAATTGTTAGTGTGAGAGTGCCAGCAAAATAAAAGGTTATGATCAGATTGGGACAATTCAGTTTTTGATTTCAGAGGTGGTGGGTACAATTTCTGAATATGACCAGATCCAGGATGTGGCAATGGGAGCGGATGGTTGAGGGAGATGGAGAAAGGCCATCAAAGAGTAGCCAGAGTATTAGAAAGGAAGATGAGGAGTCTAAAGGTAATTTCCCATGAATATGTCCAATTGGGCAGGGGGTTTCTGAGAAGGCAAACTCATCCCAACATGATTTGCTAAGTACCACCTAATTGGCTCTAAAGTCACTCCTTATATTCCCAATTCTCTTGTTTCCATCTATCATAACACCCTAGTCTCAGATCCTTGAATGGATGACATGCATCCAGCTCTCTCCTAGGTCAGGGTCAGCTCTGTGCCAGCAATGCAGCCAGAGGTGACTTCGGATCACACCCCTCTCAGCTGACCCATCACTAGTAGGCAGGACCCAGGCAGCAGGTACCTATGTGTCTCACTTTCCCAGCCTTCCCCACCTTTTTCTCTAACTCTTGGAGTTGGGCCAGAATTCTTTCCTTTTCTTCATCAGCTTCCTGAAGTTGGAGATCTGTAAGGCCTTGGATTTCCTCCATACTTTTTAGATTTTCTTGCAAATAGTGAATTTCATTCTCCAAATGCTGGATTTTTGCTTCATGTTGCCTCTTATCAAAATTAATCTGTGAGGAAACCAAGTGTTAAGGATGATTTTTAAGTAAAGTAAGTTTTAAGCAAAATATAAACTTTGTACAGGGTTGTCTTTCATTTTACTACAGAGTGTAACAAAATTTTGTACTAATGAGTCATCAGGTACAGTTTCATCTTGAATGCTCTCTAGGATCCCTTTGAATGTTTGCCTCATCATTAAAATCATTACATTAAAAAAAAATCAGATTCTGGCACCACAATACACTGTAGCAATGTGGTATTATTTACCTGACCATTATGAAACATCTCACTTGCTTCTAAAACAAAGAAAACACAGTGTCACAAACAAGCCTGACTTTGACATCAGTAACCATATCCAGGGTTGAATTTTAAGTCACACCAAGCTAAATTTGTTATGAGTGAAAATAGCAATTAGGTTGCATTTACATGAGAAAGGAAGCATTGTAATTTCCTGAAAAACATTAATATCTGCCAAACACTTCCCTCCAGCTGCCTCTTGCCCTATTCTTACTCTTGTTTCAAGGGCTCTCTCACAGGCCTGCCTGAACTCTTCTTGTCCGTGTGCCAGTTTCTCTTGCTGCAGAACCATTTCTTCTTGGAGTTTTTGCTCTCTAACTTGTGCTTCTTCTCGTTCCCACTGGGAGCGTGCAAGGATTTCACTTAATTGTTTCTGTAAATCTGCAAGACTTTTCCCTAAGACATCTGAAGGAGTCTCCATTCTGGTAAGAAGGAAAAAAAAGACAGAATAAATGTGACATTTTATTTTTGATGCTGGATAGAAATATGCTGTTAACATTAGCACAAGAGTGAAATGAGCTGTGTGAAGAGACTGGTGTCAATTCATAGCAATTTACTGAGCATCTCCTAAGTGCAAATCATTGTTTTATCAAATGACTGCTGCCACTCTAAAAACACAGACCCATATTAGGCTTATAATGTTTCCTCAAAGGATAAATGCCCATTTCATATATCTGAAATAATTCTGTTTTTATTTGATATTTGTTCTCTATTTAAAATGCATAATGTGGCTCCACTTCCTGACCATAGGTAATAAACTTTCAAGGAAGAGTTACTCTTAATACCTTTACCTTTTTTAAATTAAATAATACCAAAAAGTATAAAAGATCTAAAACGTAAAAAAGAAAAAAGAAAAAAAAAAATCAGTCATTAGCAGAACTTAGAAGGGGAGTTCACCACTGAACCTCACACTCACAAATCTGAGGTAGTGAAGTCCACTCTACACTCGAAGGTCTTGATTTTTCCCTTACCTCACTTCCCCAGCACCTAATTTCAGTTTTCTCCTTAGCTCATCCACACGAGCTGCCACTTCTTCTGGACGAATCAAACCATCAACCACATGGTTAAGGTGATTCTGGAAATCTTTAAGTTGGTGTTTTAACAGATTATTGTCATCCTATGGAAGGGGGTAAAATGGGGAGTATCTATTATATGCCAGCATATTTTCACTAACAAACTAACAAACTTAACTAGACCACAGAACTAAATTCAGACAATGCCTCTTTCAAGTAAAAAGAAACTGCTAAAATTTCCCTACATTGTAGAGAAAAATAGTTCCATGTTCTAAGCCACTAATTGTACTCCCCTGAATACCTATATTCTACCTGAGTGAGTAATCTACTTCAAACTCAGTGTAACATTGTTAACTAAAATGGAGAATTTAGAACTGCAATTAACATGTTTTTAAGTGCCTGTCCCATCTGGAGTCCTCTTATCTGTAAACTGTCCCTGGCCACTGACCTGAGGCAGTCCTTTCTGTACTACTATCTAATCCTGGCCACAGGTGACTTGATCCAATGCCATCCAATCCACTGACTAGTCAGAAAACATACTCTCATTCTTTCTATAATTTGAATCAGCATCCAGTATGGCAAGACTATATATATATATATAAATGCTGAACATGAAAAGATATGTCAGTTAAGGGCTGGGGCCCATGATGGGCCAAACACAACGCCGAGAGACAGAGAAGGAGAAATGAGAGAGCCATGTGGCCCCTGAAAGTTTGACAGAGCAGCTCTGGTTCCTAACAAGCAGTTTCCTTTCTTGAGCTAATGCTCAAGTTTCAGTTCATTGCAACTAAATGATTTCTGAGAAAGACATATATAAGGTGGGTTTACTGTGTACTCTTATCAGGAGGTTAGTAGGCCAAGTACCAAAGAACCTAGGTACTAACAAAGGTAGTCCCATAGCATGGGCCGGCATTCTGGAAAGCTGACTTCAGTTTCTCCCTTGGAAGAGAAGGCCCCTGAAGAATGTATTTTAATCCTTTTCTGTAAGAGATGTATACTGAAGTATTTATGGGTGAAACAAAGATGTATGAAATTTTCTTTAAAATATTCCAGTAAAAAATGAGGGACTAAATGAAATAATAAATGTTGACAGTTGTTTAAGCTGGATGATGGGTAAATAAAGGGTTACAAGACTATTCTCTTCTGTTTTTGTGATTATTTAGAAATTTCCATAGTAAAAACAAAAAACAATAATCCAAGGAAGACCCTACATACACAGACAACTCACACAAAAATGGAAAATATGTACATCATCTTTTATATTTGTTTCAGAAATCAAACTTACAGAAGTAAAAATTAAATTCTAGGTTAATTAGATTTCTTTAAACTTCGAGGAAAAAATATTTGAAGTGTTGGAAGAAGAGTAAATTTGTGTGAGCAGAGTCTTATTTGTCACAAATCTCCCTGCATGGTTTTTTGGCAGCCTGCCCTCAAACCACATAAACTCTGCCCCTTTATTTCTGGTGTTAACAGCTGCCACCTCAGCCAGCCAAGCAGCCCCTGACCTCACAGATTTGGAGATCTGAGTGTTGATTCAGGTATCTGTTTGTTCAGACATCTGTCCTCTTTGACAGAGTGTAATTATCTGGAAAATCCTGTCCACCTGCTTCTCCTGCAGTTTGTTGGGCAGATTATTGTGAGCTATAAAAATATTCTGCCATCCATTCCCCACAAATTTAAAATAATTGCATTTTTAATAGAATCCTTTCTGAGAAGAGAATTGTGAAAACTGTTTACAGTTAAGAAATCCTACTGCAATCCACTCTAGTTAAATTCCTGGATAATTACAAAGATATTTCAGTGTAAAAGGAATGTACCAATCTGATTTTAGCTCAGTCTGGTGACAGACCTGCTTCTATGAGAAATGAAAGGTATTGCTTTTGCCCATGAGTTTACACTCATGAGTATGCTCTTTACTACTGACACTGCCTCCATCTCTTTACACCATTGTAACAACACAAACAATATTAATAATCTTGAAACCATGGTTACAAGGGAACAGAGACTATGGTACTGCCCCACCCACATTTCCTTTTTTTTTTCTAATAATTCAAGTTTCTTACTACATGTTACAGCAGGTCGTTAAGTGCCAAACTAAAGATATCATTATTTTTGGGTGTCTTATCTAAGAATATATTCTAAAACAACAAATCTTCTAATAATTCAAGTTTCTTACTACATGTTACAGCAGGTCGTTAAGTGCCCAACTAAAGATATCATTATTTTTGGGTGTCTTATCTAAGAATATATTCTAAAACAACAAATCTCTACCTGCAGCTGTTTAAGCTTTGTGTGAAGCTCATTATTCTCTTGTTCCTTTTCTTCTGAGAACTGTATTTTTCCAAGGGCATTCTTGAGGGCTTGCTTTTCCTTCTCAAGTTCTACTTGAAGGGCTGACTGTTCTAACTGTTGCCATAGGAAGCAATAATATGAAAGTGTAAAACAGCAATAAGTTATGATCTAAAAAGGCATAAATAAATTTACATATATACACCATCCCTTGTTAGCTATGGTTTTATAGTTTTATGTTTGTACTCCCAAATTAAAAAACCCAAGATAATTTTCTCACATGTACCTTGAACTATTAATACTTAAGGAGAAGTAAGCATCAGAATTGGCTCAGCCCAGATATACCAAATCAGAATCTTCAGGGGTGGTAGGCCCAAGCACTTACCTTTAAAAGCTCTGCAAGTGATCCAACACTTATTGCTCTCCTTTCCCTTAGACCAGTATTTCTCTAACTGTGGTCCTCAAATATCTGTCTCAAAATCACTTGGTACTGATTAAATACCAAGTTAAAAATGCCTGTCAAAAATGCAGATGTCGGGCCGGCCTGGTGGCGCACTGCTACAGTGCGCTGCTTGGGAGTGTGGCGGCGCTCCCGCCGAGGGTTTGGATCCCACATACAGACTGGCCGCTCACTGGCTGAGCGAGGTGCGGGCGCAACACCAAGGGTTGTGATCCCGTTGCCGGTCCCGGTCCGGTACGGGCGCGACACTGAGGGTTGCGATCCGTTGCCGGACACGAAAAAAGACAAAAAGGAAAAAAAAAAAATGCAGATATCTAGATTCCATATCAGACTTGATGGATCAGAATCTCTAGGGTGGGGCTCAGGAATCTGCATTTAACAAGCTCCATAAATGATTTCATATAACTAAAGTTTACCAATTATCCATAGATCACAGAAGATCTGTTATGTTCTCTTGAGGTGTGTGTGTGGGGGGGGGAGGGGTTGTCCTTTCAACACCAAGTGACTCAGTGAAAAAGCCAGACTTTTATAACATTTTTGTTAAGACTTATAAGGATCTTTCTTTATAAGCCAATGGGAGTACAAAGGACAATGTAATTCAAGCTGGTAAGGGCTAGCTTGAAAAGAGGAAAACTTATTTGAAAGGAGATGCCATCTAGAATTTTTATTCACTATTATTTAAAAATATGTATTTACTGTTATTTTAATTGTTTTTCCCCAACTTCCTGTTTTCTCAGACTCTGATCTTATCAACTGTCATTTTGCAAATCTTGGTACTCTTGAGTAATATAATCCTGACAATTAGCAAGTAATCCTCTGACATCTGATACAATGACATAATTACTATAATAAACCAGACCTATTTTTAGTCCCTTTTCTAATGATACAAATGTTCTTTTACATCATTCCTGAGATTCAAACTATCTTATTTCATTTTTATCCAATAAGCACATATTGACCCTTCTCACGTGCCAGGCAATGAGAAAACAGAAACAAGCAGATACATGTACAATCTGAGCATTTGCTGAGCTCTGAGTCTAGCCAGAGTGAGACAGACAAACTAAATGATCATCATACAGATGATAAAATGCCTTGACCAAGCAGAGGTTATAGGAAAACCAAAGTAGAGTCCTGAATCCTGACTTTCAGCAGTCAGAAGGGGAAGATGAGGGTGGGCTTTCTGGAGGAAGATGTAGCCCATTTGGCTAACAGGCTGAACAAAATTGGATTTTTAAGCTGATAAAGAATGTACTACAACTGGCCTCTGCCTACCGCTCTGCCTTCACCTCTCACCCTCCTTCTTCACTCCTCTCCTCACTCCTGGCATCCTGCAGGCATACTTCCAGCATTTCAAATGTACTATGCTCTATCTTCTTGCCTCTGCCTAGAACACTCATCCCTTACCCCTAACCTTTTTCACCGGTGCTCCCTTGCATGGCCAAATCCTACTCATCCTTCAAGACTTGGCTGAAACATCATTTCAGCAGGGTGGTCTTCCCTGACAACCCCCTCCTCTGCCAGATCCCTGCCCCTTCTTTCTCCCCACACCTGCTTCACCCGGTGGACCATCAGCTCCACAGGACAGCCACCAATTCTATGCTGTTCACTAGAGCATCCACAGTACCTGGCCCTCAATGCTCCATCTATACGTAATTATGGATGAATAATTGCAGGGAAAGTGAAGATAAATGGTCAGGGTCCCTTGAGGGACCTTGCATGTTCGGAGTTACCAAGCATTTGATGTAAATATGCACGTGCACCCAAGTGTTCCTTGGTTATTGTCTAATGTAATTACATATGTGCACCCAGGTGTCCTGGGTTATCGGACTTAGGTATAAAGGACTTGTGGCTCAGATCCACAGTGCCCCCCATCCCGGGCATACCCCGGGGGGGCCACTACTACTGCTGGAGGATGTTGCTGCAAGCTGTCACTGCCAGGGTCCCCGGGACCCTCTGGGAGGCCACTGCCGCCACTGCTGCTGGAGGCTGCTATAAGCTGCTGCTGCTGAGGAAGCTGAGGACTGAGTTTGTGTTGTCTGCCAATGGCTCCCAGGATCTTTCCCAATTACCTAGCTCATGGACCTGTATGTGAGGGGTCTGTGACCCAGTCTGTACAACAGGTTTGAAGGGTCTGTGGGGCCTAGCCCTAGCAATACAATAATGTTTTCTCTAATTTATAAGTATATTTAAAATAATGGTTCTTTCAACCACCACAATAGAAAACTAAAATGTAACATCAACTTAAATGAAGTCTCTTAAAGCTGTTCTGAGAAAGAAAAGCTAGAATATACTGAATACCAACTGCCAGGTGCTATAATTTATTGAATATCAAATGCTCATTATCTCATTTATCCTCACCATAAGCCATTTTACAGAGAAGGAACAGGCTGGGAAGCTCAGAGCCATGAAGTGATTTGCCCATTCACACAGACCTAGTATTTGAACCCGGAATGTCTGACTCCAAACATGTGCCCTTCCCATGACTCCATACACATTATATTAAAAAGTGTTTCATCTTAAGACATAAGTAAAGGAAGAATGATATCTTAAGGCACAGGATACTTAGTTTCTAGTTAGCTTTGTTATGGCTAGTATTTGAACCCGGAATGTCTGACTCCAAACATGTGCCCTTCCCATGACTCCATACACATTATATTAAAAAGTGTTTCATCTTAAGTTAAGACCTAAGTAAAGGAAGAATGATATCTTAAGGCACAGGATACTTAGTTTCTAGTTAGCTTTGTTATGCTCCTACTTACCTGGGTAAGCCTTGTCAGTTTTTCCAACTCTTCCTTGAGCTGCTTGGCTTCAGCATTCCTTAGCTTTAGCTGAGCCTCTAGCTCAGCTTCATAGGCATTGAGATTGCCCTGGGTCTGCTGCAAGGATGCATTCACCTCATGCTGCTCCCGGAGGGCGCTTTCTAGTTCTGCAAGCTCCTGGAAGGATTCAGTGTATTTAACTATGAAACCCTCACTGTGCTGCTTAAGCATCTGCAAATCATTATACGTAATTTGAGCACTGTAAACCAAATGCTGGCCAGTCACTGCTGCCTGGCACAGAAAGTTTTCATTAGTAATATGATGAAGCTCAGGCTGTGTTTATCCTAGCTGGAATACAGAACCCTAACTAAATATAATCAGAGAAGTCAGTAAGTTACCAACATGTTGTTTTCTAAAGCTATCAGTTTTGTGATATTGGCAACTAAATGTTTTCACATTCATTATTTCTTCCTATCTTCACAATAACTAAAGCAAACTGCACAGTTCTACAGATGAAGAACTGGAGAATGAACATCTAAGTAAATTGCACAGGGCTATGCGGCTAGAAAGAGGATAAAGTCAGGATATGAACCCAGATCTCTGACTCCAAAGCTCACACTCTTCCTATTAAACCACAGTATGTTCACTTTCAGAATAACAAAATGGGATTGGCACTCTCTGATATTAAGGATGATAGAATAACTTAAATGAGTACTAACAAGAATATAAGTACATATTGATTAGTATACCACAGTTCTGATTCATTTTAGCCCATCTGTTTTTTGTTAAACATTACAGCTTTCATCTATTTATTTGGGATTTTGAAGAATTAAATCAAACTATTCTGGATTTAAAAGGAGGATTCTGTGATGAGAAATTCTACAGAAGAGTTTCTCAATGGGTGACCCAAAGACCACTTGGCCTCTGAATCATGTGGGCTGCCTGTTTGAAAGGCAGACACCACATACAACCAACAAAAGATTCATATCCAGAAAATATAAAGAATTCCTATAAATCATTAAGAAAAGACATACAATCCAACAGAAAAAAAGGCAAAGAATATGAACAGGAAATTCACTTAAGAGGAAACCTGAATGACAAATAAACAAGTGGAAGGTGCTCAACCTCTCCAGTAATCAGCAAAATTCAGTTAAAACAAGATAATATTTTGCATAGGGCATACAGGAACAAATTAAATAAACCATGAAGAAACAATCGACAAATCCAGAATGTGAGACAATCTAGAGGACCACCAGCCTAGATTCTTCTCTCTCTCTCTCACACACATTATAAGACATTCTTGCGACAACTGGAAAAATTTGAATATGGTTCAGGTGTTAGATGACATTAGGGAATTACTGTTAATTTTCCTAGGTTTAATAATGGTATTATAGTGATGTAGGAAAATGTCCTTATTTTTAATAGATGTGTGTTGAACAGATGATATTATGGTGTCTGCAACTTTCTTATGGACAGAAAAAAAAGGTATGTGTCTGTAATAGAAGGTATGTGTCTATAATAGAGAAAATAAATACAACAAAATATTTATGGAATCTAAGAGGGCCCATAGATGTTCACTAAACTATTCTTTCAATTTCCCTGTAAGCAGAAAAATTTGCATAATAGAAAGATGGTGGAAAAGATACCATTTAAAACTCAGCAGATCAGCAAACATAAAGTCTGAAAAAGTATTAAATTTCCTGAATTTGATAATTATTCTGTATTTATGTTACAAAATGTCCTTGTTCTTAGGAAACATATACTGAGATATTTAGGGGCAAAGAAGCACAATGTCTACAACTAATTCTCAAATGTTTCAGGAAAAAAGCCTATATAAAAATGTATATAAAATCATGTAAAAATTATATATGAGAGAGAGATAAAGCAAATGTGGCAAAATATTAATTGGTGACCCTGAGTGAAGGGTATATGTGAATTAATTATTCGTGTTTTTCTTGCAACTCTCCTGTAAGTTTGAAATTATTTCAAAATAAAAGCCTAAAAAAAGAAATTGAACACCACTAAGGTGTTGGCAAAGATGTGGTAGAATGGTATCCCTCACATTGCTGGTAAGAGCAGAAACTGAATCACTATGGACAGTAATTTGACAATGTCTAGTGAAGTTAACTAAGGATACACATACTCTCTGACCTACAGTTCCACTTCTGAACATAGTCCCCAAGTCTCAAGGTGTGTACAAGAATGTTATACCCAGCATTGTTTGTAATAGCAAAAGACTGGTAACCGCCTAAATGTCCCTCAAAACAGAATGAATAAATAATAAATTTGTGGTATGTACATGCAATGGGATGTTACATTCATCAATAAAAATAAACGAAGTAGAGCTACATGCATCAATGTGCATAAATTCTCAAAAACATAAATATGGTCAAAGAAAATGTACAATAAAATATATTTTATATAAAGTCTTAAAATCATGAAAAACAATACTACATATTACTTGTGAATGTTTACATGTATAATAAAAGAATAGAGATATAGGAAATAATAACCATACTCAGGGTTTTGTTACCTCTGGAAAGGAGTACATAGGTCAAATACATCTGCAATGTTTTATTTCTTAAGCTGGGTTGTGAGTACATGGTGTTAAATATTATTTTTGATACTTTCTATATGCCTGAGAAATTTCATAATATTAAAATATATTAATTCAGATTTCTGGAGCCAGCCCTACTAAGCATGAAGTTTGGGAATCTGTGGTTCTCATACATGATAAAGTTTGCCAAACAACTAAAATAGAGCAAGTGAAATCTCCAAATGAATGGGCAACAAATCAGGTATGGATTTGTCTTATTAGCTATAAAATAATGTAATAACAAGAATAAGAAAAGCCATGTTGTGCTTAATTTTGCTGCACAAATAATAAAACATGAACATTTAATACAGCTTTTGCAATAGCTACAATTTTATAATCTTTAGGAGTTATTTGACAACAATACCTTCCAGGGATAGACATACAGCTAAAACAATCCTTTTCTTGGCAAAGGAAAAATAATTATTCCAAATGTATCACAGCTAAAGAAGGAAAAATCTTCAACTTTTAAAAGAAAAAAAATAGCCACTAACACATTTTGCCACCTACAGTTGCACTGCTGCTAACTTCTTCAACTAACTCAATTTGAACATCACCTACTTCTGAAGCTAAGGAAAAAAGGCAAGAAGAAACAAATCATACCTTCCTCATATTTTCTGCATCCATGGCAACTATTTCCAGTTGGTCCCTTTCCTGCTTGACTTCGGTCAATCTCTGCAACAGTGTCTCTTTCTCGTCCTGTAGCTTTCTGCACTCATTCTGGGCCTGCGTTGCCTGACCTTTGATGGTCCCCAAGTATTCTTGCAACCCACTGATGACACCTTCTAAATCCTTCTTCAGGGCTTCATTTGCTGCTATCTGGCCTAAGCAAGATGGAAAAGGGGTAATAATGTATATTTTTAAAGTGCAGCTTTGTCTCTTTAGCTATTTGTTACTAGCCAACAGTGAAAAGCTTTCAATTATTTCCTATCTTTTCTTTTCAAGATATAATGATAATTTTCTTTCTATTGTCCACAGTAAAGGAGTATTAAGCAGGTATACAATAAAAATAGTATATTTAGTGGGCAATGCTTATAAAATGCCTGACTCGTATTGTTAAAAGTTTAAATAATTTCCAAATAAAATAGTGGAAAATGTGCAGCAAAACTGTAAGCAGGTATACAATAAAAATAGTATATTTAGTGGGCAATGCTTATAAAATGCCTGATTCGTATTGTTAAAAGTTTAAATAATTTCCAAATAAAATAGTGGAAAATGTGCAGCAAAACTGTGAGTTCTTGCTGCTAGATACATAAAACAAAACCACTCATTATACAAGACTAACCCAAGACCAGCAGTATAAACATGTAACCTGAAGACTTAAAAAACAAACACTATATTGGGTACCTACTATGTGCCGGCACTTTAAAAACACTCTCTCATTTAATCATCCCAACAACTAATGATAGAGATAGAAATCTTGTCCAAATTGACACAGTTAATAATGACAAAACAGGCACAGTTAATAATGACAAAACGGGACCTTTTTACAATGAGCTCAGGCTCTCACCACAACAGCCTATTGTTTTCCTCTTCCACTATTATGGAAATGTCACATTTTAAATTTGCATTGCAAAAGTGGATCCTAAAATTCTTACTACACTCTTCTCATAACTAGATACTGAAGTCCCCGATGTCAATGGGCTGTTTGCTCCTAAAAGGATTTGATGCCACAGAAGATGATGATCACATGCCAGAGCTTATCACAATCATGTATTGACTTCTCACCCACTGAAAGAAATGACCTGATTCACCAGGCATCAATCAAAAACAAAACTCAAATAAAAATTTTTTAATTTTAATTTTAAGCCCTTTTAGATACTCTGCAAATATTTCCCTAGCAAATAATAGTACTAACAAGCTGGACTATATTCTGATAATATCTGGATTATCATCTTTCTTTTATTAATATTGAAACTGCTTTACCTTAAATTATACTTAAATTCTCACCTTCAGTAAGCTGTTGTTCAAGGTCCTTAATCTCTTCAGTCTCATTAGCAATTCTAGAAAGTATCTCGTCCAAACGGCTTTCGAGTTGTTTGTACTGCTTGTTCATAATGTCAAGCTGTTGTTCTTTACCCCTTTTCTGAGCCTTCATATGGGACTGAATTTAAAAAACCAACAAAATCCCAATTTCTTTAAACTCTTCTAAAATAATAATCCAACAACATTTAAAAAAGAATAGAAAATAAAATGTAATAATTTGCATCTATTTTGTGTCAGGCCCTGTATTATTTTCATGTGAGTTGTTTTCATTTAAATCTCAGGATAACTTTTTGTGGGAATCATCTCCATTTTACAGATGAGAAAACTGAGGATCAGAAAGGTTAAGTGATTTTTCCAACAGCACAGCTAGCAGGTTATGTGGCCAAGTTCAATGTTATTTGCACTGCATTAAAATGTGTCTTTTAAAAAAGGCTTCCAAAAAGTTAGTTGATTATATTGACATAAATCTATAGAAAAAGATTTTAAAAGTATATTCCAAAATATTAACAAGGATTTTATCTGGGTAGAAGAATTACAGGTTTTTTTTTTTTAATGAGTTTTTTAACATTAAAAAAAACTTTTTCTAATAGATAAGTAATACCTTTTTAATCTAAAAAAACACATTACGTATACTTTTTCAAAAAAAGGCTTCTTAGGGGAAAATAGAAACATGAAATAAGTAAATACTTGGAATTCAAGTTTATTTTCAATTTCTCATACAAACATTTTGCTTTTAGATTTGATAAACTGGAAGCTGACAGAGTCCTCAAAGATCATTTAGCCCAGTGAGTCTCACAAAGGAGGGCCAAGAGAGGCACACTCTTCTACCACTGCACAAGCCCCTGGTGGAAAACAGAGCTTTCACACACCCACACACCCACACACCCCGATAGCCATTGCATTAGGGAGCCACTGTTAACTGAAAGGAGTGGTTTGTATTTCTCAGGTGGACTAGGGAAAACAAATTGAGAACCAATGGTCTAGTCTAACCCTTCCTTTCACAGGTGAGAACACTGAATCTCAGATCCATCGAGTGACTTGCCCAGGTCTCCTTAGGCAACTGTTCATATGGAGACAAAATAATTCCCCAGAGAACCTTTACCCACCCACTCACACCCTCATGACTCTAAGTTTGCCCCCACAGAACTAGAACTATAAAAGAAGAGAAAACTATCAGGAGAGTGAACTGAATCAAAGTCTGAACAACAAATGTGAAGGTCCAAATCTAAGATCCATTTGATTATAAAAGAACATTTTCAATTTTAGATGTCTGCTTCCCCCAAATACAAGAAAAGTCTCTTCATTTTGAAGAACAAATGAGAGGCTGCTTCATTAGACGGTTTTATTTTACTACTGGTAAAACTTGATGGGATTTTCAAAACTTTTTCTCCCTACACTCCTAAAATACCCACCTAAAATCTTTCTAAATAGGCAACTTATAGATAACAGCTTACATTCTAAGTAAATTCAGAATTTTTATGGCTCAAGAAAGAATTTTTTTAAAAATGATAGCACTCATATCTGTATCAACCTTTAAAATTCACCATTAAAAATTCCACTCAAACCTCTTTATATGCAGGACAAAAGTTTGGTTCAATACGCCAGTGATGTACATTAAACACATGGGAGCAAAAGTAGATTCTGCGATTTTCACTACTGTGAAGCTCACAGAAGAGTTATTGTAAAAACAGGAACTTACATCTGACTCCTCCTTCGTTTAAGTCCTTCGTACAGAGAGAGAGAAAATGATCATACCTTAACTTAGAATTTGTCCTGTTAAAAACTGAGCCGTTGAGAACAGAGAAACTGTGCGCGGAACGCTTTCTAATGCTGTCTTGAAATTCATGTGCACTTCCCCCTCTGACAGTCACATTTTTGCAAGCACCTCAGAGCCTCTGTAACTTCGCAGCGGCTCAAAGCACACTCCTGGCCAAGAGTGACAGGCAACCGTTCGCCCAATCACCAGCAGCCTCTGCGGGCAGGGCCCACCCTCTGTGTTTTAAATCATAACACAGGAAGCTTCCGGGAGCCAATCACGCCCAAACTTTGCAACAGATCACTACGAGCTAATTCCCTCTAGAGAACAGTTAGTTACCTTTTGCTTCCACAAGGCATTTCCAGAGGGATAAGCAATATAAGTCTTCTTTATTATGTTTGCTCCTGTGATATTTGTGCTTCTAGCTATTAACAATTTTATAACTAAAATGGGACTTTATTTTTAAATGGTACCTTTTCCTTTGAAACATAGTTAAATGCTTATTGTGTTTGTTGAAAACCTGACTAGGCTTGGTTCTGAGCTAATTTTAAAATAATCTATTTAGACCTTCAATCCCTTTGTGAGGAGCGGGTCATCGCAGCATAAACAAGGGCGCCGCCTCTTTCTAAAAGGGTGATTTGGAGCAAATCACTTAATCTTTCTTAAACCACATTTTCTTCCTCTGCAAATTAAAAAAAAAAAAAAAAGTGCCACCAACCTCACATGGATACTGTGATAAAATAAAGTGCCTCACAGCATATGCAAAATAGCCAGCACAATGAAAGACACATCGTGGACATTTAATGTGTTTGCTTTCGATCATATCTCATCAGAATCAAGCTCTTACTTTTAAATTCTGCTTGCTATTCTGAAAGATACTTCACCTGATTAGAAAATAAAGGTTAATTAAGAAAAAGTCTATCCACATCTATAGAAAACTATACAGGAATCCCACTCTTGATTCTTCTCTTTTGCTAAAAGGCTCAAATTTTGTAGCCTAAAATGGGGTGTCTAACACTAGTCAATAAGGCAACTTTGTGCAAATTAGAAAAAGATGCTCCCTCTGGGTGAACAAATTAAAAAGATGTCCTCTGGTGCTGCAACCATAAGAACTATTAGTAGTTCTAAAAAAACAAAAAGGGCCGGCCCGGTGGCGCACTGCTACAGTGCGCCGCTTGGGAGCGCAGCGACGCTCCCGCTGAGGGTTCGGATCCCACATACAGACCGGTTCCCGCTCACTGGCTGAGCGAGGCACGGACGCAGCACCGAGGGTTGCGATCCCCTTGCCGGTCCCGGTTCGGTACGGGCGTGACACTGAGGGTTGCGATCCGTTGCCGGACACGAAAAAAGACACACGAAAAAAGACAAAAAGGAAAACAAAAACAAAAACAAAAAAAAGAAACACCTGGTTTGTATGTTTCATCTTTACCAGTTTGTGCTTAATTTTGGCTACCTTCAAAACTTGGAAACCATTCCTAAGTCTCATTCAGTTCCTTTCTACATGCAATTCTTTACAGAAATCCAGTGAGAAACTCTTCATCTGCCAAGAATATCACACTCGCTTACTGAAAGCAAACACACAATCCAGGTTCTAATTAGATTTAAAGATCACAGAACTGGAATGGGGCATCCTACCTTTTGCTATGCAAGCATTCATAAACCTAAAACTGCCTCGGGGGATACAGATACCAGTTGGATATAGTTTCTTCCTCGGGGGCCTTACATGGGTGGCAGACTTCTTAACAAATAAATGCAATAAAGTAACCACATTGCATATTACTTAAAATCTCTGATTTTTTGTGTAATAAAAATTCTTTAAAATAATCAAGACTACTTTTGGTTTCAATTGTAATACTAAGTCTCAGGCTTTTGTTAGAAAAGAACTTATATCTCTGATGATAAGATTATTCTTTATCAAAATTAGCTAGCCCACAAAAAATATACATGGTATTTTACTAAAATATTTAAAGGAAAAATTAAATAACTTGTCAAGTACTTACAGCAATATAGTGCACTGTCCTTACCATGTTAAATTCTATGATTTCTGATAATCCAAGGATCTTAAAGATCTTTCAAAAAATAGCTTTATTATCCAAAGTATACCAGGAAAATATGTAGGAAATATTTTTACTTCTAATTTAGAAATATTAGCTACAATATAAGCCCTTAGTAAGACTTCTCCAGGTAGAGACAGAAAGAGAGAAGAGCCTGATCCTATCATGCAGCCACCTGACCACATCTGGCCATGTCTCAGGAAGACATACTCCAGAGAAACGTTTCATTCTTCAGAACAAAACAATATGAAACAACAAATAGCTTTAGTGAAATATTGGCATAATGGATTAAAGAAGAGGTAGAGAAAGGACTCTGAACCTTTCAGCTCTTTGTGTTCTTAAGAAAGAAAAAAACAAGGAAAGGAGAGAGAAAGGGTAAGAAGTTTGGAGAACATGTTGGAGCAGGTTTCTCTTGCTCTGAAATACTGGTTCAATGAAACTCAACCACTTTAAAAAAATAAATGTACCATGTAGCCATCATTCTACTGAAAGCTACCTCCTTCAAGCTAGGTTGTTTTGTTTCAGACATATGCACACATTTTGTATATGTGTATATACACATATATTTATATATAATGCACATACACATATACATTCACACATGCACATACTTAAGTATTTAAATATCTAAATAACTTAATTTAAAAATTTAAATCACTTAAATTTGTACATCAAACTAAAAGAGACTTTCAGAAAGGACTCTGCTGCTCAAAATGAGACATGTACTATCTAGATAGAACAATATTCTAGTCTCCATAAAACCAGCCAAAATTTCTTAATTTACTTACATTTTTTGGGTCTTTGGAATCCAGGCTATCTATAGTTATTTGCAGGTCTTTAACTTCTTTCTGCTTTTCGGCAATTTCTTGCTTTTGCTTTCCCATCTGCATTTCTAGATCCAGAGCTTCCTGGCGTAATTTATTTACAAGTTGTATCCTACCACTCAACTGCTTGAAAAGAAGGTCTTTCTCTGCTTCTGAAATCTAATCCCCCCACACCCCGACACATAATTAACAGAAGATAGCAACATTGATCTATAAAGACAACAACTTCTACAATTTAAAAAGGTATTTTATGTTCTATCAGTTTTTTACAAAGGTAAAGAATTATCTAGGCACTCCATGCATATCTTATACTTTCATGTTTATTATATGTAGAAAGCCTTATTTTATAAAAGTTTGTGAAAACTAATAAATTTAACAGCAGGTACAAATGAAGATGTCATTCTAGTATAAACAACTTGTAAATTATTAATAATAATAACCACAATATTAATGACAGCTGATATTATATAGTACTTACTATGCATCAGGCACTGTTCTAAATTCTTTTCATACTTTAATTTAATCCTTAAAACATAAAAGGTAGAAAGTGTATTTATCCCAATTTTACAGATAAGGAAACTGAACATGGAAAATTTAAATATCTAGCTCCAGGTCATACTAAGAGGTTGTGGAACCAAGACTTTGTGTGACTCTAGACAATTTCACTAACTACTGTTTACACTACAATTCCTAACGTATTAAAGTACAAAGACAGTCAACCAATAAATTCTGAGTACTGATACAGAAGCAATAGCTTAATACTCTATTTCCTACTCCTATCAGTTTTTAGCATAGAGATTTATACAAATATAAAAATGTTTCTCAAAAGTCTGTATAGAAGTATAAAAAGAGGATGCAGATAAAAGATTAGAATAAAATAAAATAAAATATTCGTAATGATTATGTGATTCCCTATAACTGCAGTACCTGTATAATCAGGAAAAACTTAAAAATTTGTGGTCACTGGTAAAATCATCCCACACCACAGGATTATAAAATATAGTAAACTCATTAACTTGAGATTTTTATTTTACTGAATAAGATCAAGCTGTGGCTTACCTTTTTAATACATTTTGGGGTGGGAGGGAGGCAGCTGGCTAGTATGGGGATCCAAACCCTTGACCTTGGTGCTATCAGCACCACAGTCTTCCAAGTGAGCTAACCGGCCAGCCCTGTATTATACATTTTTTTTTTAAGTGAAGCTTATCTTAGCATGTCAAGCAAATGAACAGTGTAAAGAAAATTTAGGCTTATATTTAATCATTTAAAACAACTGTTTTTTCAATCAGATTTTGTAAGCATCCATTTATTTTAAAATTATGTATATTATTTACATCTATCTATCTATGTAAAGCTTTGGTCAATGCTGCTATAAAACATTCAAGTAAACTTATTAAAACCATCCTGATAGCTCCCTCCACCTCATCTCCCACTTTTAATCTATCTTTAAGTCCTGTCAGTTTTACTGCCCAATCTTCCCTAGAATCAGTTAGCTTTCTCACCAAGCTACCATCACCTTCCTGGCTGGTGCAAGCCATTATCATCTCTTGCCCGTACTGAACTCCTGACAGATGCAAACATCTCCGTTCTTTCCATCTCCCTCACAGCATTTCACTCTCATGCAGTTGACTTGTACAAATGCAAACAGAATCAGCCACTGTACTACCTAAAGCCTTTCAAAGGTTTCCCATTTCATGCAGAATAAAATTCAAACTCCTTAAGACTGCCTATGAAGCCTGGCGTGACCTTTAACCCCATGACTCTTTAGCTTCGTCTTCCACTACACTCTCCCTCCCTCTGCTGAGGAATCTTTAGCCTGAAGGCCTCTGTATGGTCGCCTCTGCCTGGAATAGTCTTCACCCCAACTCTACCTCATTGGCTCCTCCTCATCCTTTGTGTCTCGGCCTAAATGTCACCTCCTCAGAGAGGCCTTTGTGGGTCCTCACAATATAAATTATCTCTCTTTTATTATCTCTCCTAGTTTTCTATTTTTTTCCCATAACACTGATGCTGTTTAACTATATATTCCTTTTTCACTTGCGTGTTGACTATTTCCCCTACAAGTCTGTCCATGAGGAGGGACACACTGTTTTGTTCACTGCTCAGGGCCCAGCCTGTTCAGTGAGTAGCATATAGTACGTTTCTAAAAAACTTCAATCAATTTCTAGTTACCACATAATCTGAAAGTAACAACACAGTGTACGTTTTAAAATAATCTACAATTTGGACATCACATTCTTATTCTACCTATTATGGAATGATGCAGTTACCATAATAATTCTGAAGTACAGATTAAGAGTTGTAAATAACTAAACCCTTTTTACATACTTAAAAACTGAAATGCCAAACACTTTCTTTTTTGAATTTCTCCCTATGCAATTGCATCATGGGTTTGAGTTGCTTACTTCTCATGACAAACTTTGGTAATTTCTGAGAGTATGTTACTTCCATCTTTCTGTACACCACATTTTATATCACTTATTTTTCTGCTTCTTGTGTTTGATAATGTTCATGCTATAAGAGAGACATCTTCTGATTCTTAATCTAGGTCCCGGGATCTTAAAGGTGTGAGGCGCTTAATAAAATTAGAAGAGATACATCAGGAAGCAACTTCTCTGGGTAAAGTAGCAACTTTTATAATATGGTACACTGAATACATCTTTTTACAAAAATTTTACGTAATTTATTTCTAAATGCTAACAAGATATCATCATGAATGGAAGGAAAATGTAACTGGAAAATGCTAGAGCCATACCTGACTCTGAAATTTATTGCATAATTAATTAGGCAGTACTGATTTAAAAATTGTTTTTTATAATTATGAAGGGAAAACATTTCATTTTTTTCATTTCCTCTTAGATTCACTGCTTTGCTTTTACATACTTTTTTCAGTTGTATCGCTTCTTCCAGTTGTTTAAATTCTTCGGTAGCTCTTAAAATCTGTTGTTCTGCCTTTTCTATTTCATCATGCAGTTCTGACAGTCGAGTTTGTGCTGCAAATTTAAAAATCATGCTCACAAACACACACAGGAAAAACTTTGAATTCTGACATTTCCACAACATTTTCTTTCTTTGCAATAACCCCCTCCATTAAATTCTGTTATTATAGATCACAGAAAATTTAAAAAGCAATTACTATGATGGCTTTCATTTCTAGTAGTTAATCTCTAGAATGAATTGTTTCATGGTACACTATAGAACTATAATTGATCCTTTTATTTGTAAAATTCTTAACATAAAAGGGGCTTTACTTGATATTTCCAAGACTGGTGAACCCTTTTGACAGAATAAGAATTTTATCAGGAAATATGCACTTCACATGTAACTAAGTTATAATTAGGTTCAGGGAGTTTAAAAAAAAACACCCTGTGCTAGAGGCAAATGTGTTACAATGGGACTCAATATCTATTTATTTATTTTTGTCTTTTTCGTGACCAGTAAGGGGATCGCAACCCTTGGTGTGGTGTCGCCCACAACGCGCTCAGCCAGTGAGCGCACCGGCCAGTCCTATATAGGATCTGAACCCGTGGCGGGAGCGGCCCTGCGCTCCCAGCCCTGCACTCTCCCAAGTGCGCCATGGGGCTGGCCCCAATGGGACTCAATATCAAGAAATTCACTACTAAACAGTCTCTCCCAGCTGGAGATAATCTTTAATCAGTTACTTTCTACCTCAAATTTGATTTCTCCCTCCCTTTATTCTTCTCTCCCTCCTACAAAAAGTATGGGCCCCTTGAAGCTAGTCTGCACATATATCTGATTTTCGCTTCTCCCTCCAGAGCCTGTATATAGTATATGAGACAAAGAGAATTCAGTCTCTTCTCTTCCCTCACGAAGTCAACCTCTACTGGCCTTCCAATGTCTTCCATTTAGCTACCAGTCAAGGGAAAATGAGCTGCTAATGTAATTGGTGAGAGCCCCACGATGGGTCGTGACTACCACTGGGATGCATGAACTTAGGTTGGCTTTCTCTCTTCCATATTCACACCACTGAGTGGGCAAGTGAATTTAAGTTTGCCACTAGCAGGGTCTCTAAAGTGACCTCTTGGCTTGACTTCTTCCTCTGTGTGACTTGCCAGAAGGTGGTAAGATCCCTTGAATTAGATTGGGTGAGAGGAGGTTGGAGAGGTTGGAGTGTGGGGCATGTCAGGAAGAGTAAGAGGCCAGTTATAGGCCCAAGCCTAAGCAGAGTATTCTGTTCCAGCTTATCCAAAGTACTGCTTTAGGTTTTGGCTACATGCATAGTAATCAATAAAGTGGTTCTTTACTTGCTTCAAGTAATACTAATTATGCCTTTGAATGTATAGTTCCAATGCCTGTTGGCAGGGTGAAATTTACACATTCTTGGATCCTCTGGACATACTGCCATCAAAGTACTGTCAAAAACCCCATTCTCAACCATAACAGGAATCATTCAAAAACAATCTGCTTAGTAAATCACTACTTTTTTGGGCCAACCCCGTGGCTCACTCGGGAGAGTGCGGCGCTGGAAGCGCAGCAGCACTCCTGCCGTGAGTTCAGATCCTATATGGGGATGGCCAGTGCGCTCACTGGCTGAGTGCGGTGCGGGCAACACCAAGCCAAGGGTTACGACCCCCTTACCGGCCAAAAAAAAAAAAAAAAAAAAAAAAAAAAATCACTACTTTTTTTAGATTTTTCATGTAAACAACAATATAATAAACCATCAACATGTTTAATTAAAAGAATTCTAAAACAAAATTGGCTTATACATTCAATCTTTCTATATTTTTAAATAATTTAAAATAACTTTTTTTAACCTGCACTTATTTTTTCTTTGTCTTCCAGTTGTATGTCCTGTGGTGTATGGGCTCTCAAGTTCACATGCTCATTTCTAAATTGTTCCCCTTCTTCTGGTTCCATCTTCTTAATCTGTACTTGCTGGGCATTATTGATAATGTAACTCTCTGTGCTGAACATATTTCTCTTGTATCTGGATTTGCCAATGTAAGGACTTTCATCTGGGGCTTTATCAATTTCAGCATACTAAAAACAAAATAAGTTAATATACTTATGGTTTAACAAGTAACTTCCAAGCAGTCATATTACTTTATTCATTTTATTAGTAACAAACATATCACAAAATTGCCTGAAGTTATATTAATCCTACATGCTTAGAAGCTGAAAAAAATATGTTATTCTTTTATCTTATTACTAATATACCAAAAAGGAATTATAACTGAAAAAAATCTCAAAAAGATTCTTCCTCCTACCACCGAAGAGTGAAAGTTTGAATTAACTGATTAAAGAAGTGCCTACAGTTTTGTGATTTTTAGGTGCTTGACCTCTCAAATCAGAAATCTGGGTGTTTTATTTTTGTTTCTTGGGTGATATAAGTAAAATCTCAGTCTAGTAAATTTAAATAGTTGGATTTTTAAAAATTAAATAATATGGTTGGTATCACTGGGTCTTAAAAACCTAGGAAGTTCCCTGGTTGCAGTGGCATTTATGGGTATTTGTACCAATAATGGTTAAGTAATACTGAACTCAGTATTAATTGAATAAACCATGTAGGGAAATGACTATTCCATGGTACTGAAGCACTTTTCCAGAAGTTTGGATTTAAGGGAGCCTATCAACCCGTACTTTTTGAGCAAGGTAACTAAGGGTTAGATGGCTGCTTTTGGTTATGTACATGGCTGTGGGCAAAGATCCTCATGGATCTTTTTACCTCTTTAGAACACTGTTCTAACTCCCTGATCCAAATAATTTACAGATTCAATCAAAATACAGTTTACATAACAAGAAAGTAGAGTGCTTATTGATAAAATCCCTTGAATGTGCACCATCTGCCCCCGCCCACTCCACCCTACCATGCTGGCTTTAACTTTGGAGCAGTAAAACGTTAAGGTAACTCACCTCTGACGGATAATAATTGAGTGGTTCAAATTTAGCATCGATTTTATAAAAGGCCAATTCCTGTTCCAGCTCATACTGCTTTTGACATGCTCGCGTTAGTTCCATGGTCTTCTGTTTTAGCTATTGGCCCAATTTGATATGAGACAACATACAGTACGTTACTATAAAGGAGCTATGATATGGCAAGTTCTCATCATAAATAATTCTATATTTAAAAACTTCACAGCAAATAGCACAATATTCAGGACATTTTATCTTAATTCTAAAGTAATATAAAAAGTGAAATACAAAATTATTATTTCCTAAGAGATCACATAAAAGACCTTTGAAGTTTATATACAATTTCAGGATACAGTGAATAAAGATTTTAAAAAATCACTTAAACGTGTTTCTATCTAAACATGAAAGTAACTCTGTATCAATTTTGGGGCACAGTGGGGGGTGGCTGGCCAGTACTGAGACCTGAACCCTTGACCTTGGTTTTATCAGCACCACACTCTAACCAAGTGAGCTAACTGGCCAGCCCATATCAAATATTTTTAAGTAACTGGCCTACTGGCTTACTAAGTGCCTGCTTCCTGATTTCCCAACAATTAGCACTAATTTATTTAACTTACTCTTCGATTTTAATGATAGCTTCAAATCATGGGGGAAATGATATTTTACATTAACTACAGAGGAATGAGAAGGAGGTCTGAGAAAGAAGAAAATAAGAGATTGGTTTTAACTGTTGTACTGTTGTAACATCTATAGCTAATGTTATCTCAGTTTTAAGTGTTCAGAAACTTATTCTTTGTAATAGAGAGAAATGTGAATAAGCTCAATCAGATCCAAATATGTACTATTAAATTTTTAATAAAGTAATTCTATAATTATAACTTTTTCGTTACTCTTAGAAATTTCTGGAGCTGGCAGATCACAAGAAATCGTCCAATCTAATTTTCCGAATTTATAACTAAAGAAATTGAGTCTCAGACTGGTGAATCGACTTGTCAAAAGTTACATATTAGATCAGTGGCAGAAGATAAATATTTTATTAAATAAATACCAGCACCAGCCCCTTTCTACACCAATCCTTTGAGTTCATTTCAAAGGTCCACTAAGTGATTTTTGTCTTTGTTTTGTGTGTGTGTGTGTGTGTGTGTGTGTGTGTGTGTGTGCCAGTGTCTGACAGTGAAGATCAGACAAAAAACATGCAGAAAAATTTCATTAATATAAAAATGCAAGCTGAAGAGAATAAAACGTAAACAAATATGAACATTTTACAAGGCCCAAGAAATCAAAGTCATGCATGATTTAGCTTACAGTCACCCCCTGATTATCCGTCAAAATGGAAGTAATGCTAGCCTGGATAACAGGTAATACTGATCCAAGTACTCACTGTGTGCCAGATACTGTGCTAAGCATTTTACATATGCTATCTCACTCAATCTTCACAACTACTGATAGAGTTTGGATGTGTTGTCCCCCCAAAACTCCTGTGGAAACCTGATCCCCAATGTGGCAATGTTGGGAGCTGTTTGAGTCACGGGGGCAGATCTCTCATGAACTGATTAATGCTTTCCTTGGGGAGTGGGGGTAGTGAGTGAGTTTCCGAGAGCTGATTGTTTAAAAAGACCCTAGTACCTCCCCTCTCTCTCTTGCTTCCTCTGCCATATGATCTGCTTGTACTTGCCAGCTGCCTGCAGCTTTCCACCATGAGTAGAAAAGTAGCCTGAGGCCTGCACCAGATGCAGCTGTCCCAGAATTGTGAGCCAAATAAACCTCTTTTCTTTATCAATTATGCAGTTTCAGGTATTCTGTTATAGCAACACAAAAAATAGGCTAATACAACTACCCTATGAGATGACAAAAGTGCATGGACAAGTTAAATAATTTGCCCAATCTCACAGCTGGTAGTGGAAAAGGCAGAGTTCAATTCCAAGTCTTCTGATTTCAAATCTAACATTCTGCCTATTGTATCATGCTGCCTTTGATGTCCTGCTGCAGGGTGTCCACCATATTTCCCAACATTGATATTTTCACTGAATGCTCTTAAGTCTCAGTGTCTCAAGAAAGCAATTCATTATCAACAGTGTCAACTGATCTTGGGTTTCTCTCCCCAAAGCTCACTGGCAATAGGGCCAAAAAAGGCAAATGTGACTGGATCCATGAAGAATGCGTGAACTGGTCTGTGCGGGCACATAATAATAAATAATCTGTACATTTCAAAGTACTTTTGTGTATTTTATAGCCGTAAGCTTAGCATATAATAAGCACTTCATAAATGTACGTTGAAATGCATAAATGAGTGCAAAATAGGAGTCAAAGGAACAGGAAAGTAGGCTAGTTGCAGTATTAGCTGTGGGATAATCAAGAGTTGACTGCAGTTAATATATTTACCAATAGAAAAAATAATATACATTCTTTCCCCCACATTGAAACTTGGTCTCCTACATAGAAATCCACTAAAAACAAAAACAAAAACAAAAACAAAAAACCACATACACACACAAGCACATTTCCCAAGGAGGCAAGCCAGTTTCAAAACTTAAAATATAAACAAGCATATTAATACATGTTATCATCCAAACCATGAAAAACACAGTGTGCAGTTCAGCCCTGAAGAACTACCTTTAAGGAAGAATAAAGAAATCAGCAGAAAAGGGCCTGCAAGAAACCAAGAAAACGGCTGAAAGGAGAAAGAAGCAAACAGATACTGTCACCAGGAGAACTCTAGAGAGTTAAGCAGTAATAATACAAGCTGTTCTTTACTTACTGTAGGAAGATATGTTTATTAGCACTAACATTATTCTTACATGGATACATTTTATCATCACTCTAACTGTGAGTTATATATATTTACATCCATCCATTATTTAGTTTGATTCATTTAAAATTATTTTCACATTAATTACCTCACTAAAACCTCACAACCTTGTGAGGCTGGCAGGAGAAGTATATCATCCTCATTTTAAAAATAAAAAAACTGTAGGACAGGAATTAAATGACTTGTAAAGCACAAAGAGTAAGTTCAGTTAATATTTGTTGGTGGCAGGACAGGGGGACTACTACAGTTTAAATGGCCACTAGAAAACTTACTTCAATGCTACTTTTCTTTTATAAATTAGTTGGCCTAATGTATAAGCAATTACTTCTTAAAACGGTAAACCACTATACAATCGTAGATGATAGTATCATCAGAAATTCTGCAAATGACAATGGAAATGTTTTTCAAATGTAAGCTCTTAGAATAAGACCCAGAATTCTTTTTTTAAATATATAATAGTTCTTTGGAATAACGGAGGAATAGGCACAACAATACAAACTGGCAATTTAAAGAAATACAAAAGAGCCAATAAATACATATGCAATACTCATCTCTTCAACAACTATAGAAATGTGAAATGAAAATAATAACGAGATTCTACTTTTTTCTATCATATTTACAAGTTCAAAGTAACATCCAGTTGGAAATTGGGCCCTTTTGCTCACTGCTGTGGAAGTGTGAATTGGTTATAAGCTTTTTGAAGTGTGCTTTAACATTTATCAAAATTTTAAACACAAATTACACAGTATTTCTACTTGTGATTTATGCTAAAGAAATGCTAGTATGAATGCACAGGTGTATACACACACACACACACACACACACACACACAAAGATTTCCTCTGTAGTACTGCATCTAAGAGCAAAAAAGTGGATGCAACCTAAATGCCCATCAATAGGAACAGGCTAACTAAGTTATGGAGCTTCCATTTAATGGAACACATATAGACTTTAAAAAGAATGAAAATTTATACACACACACACACACACACACACACACACACTTTTTTTTAAACAACACGGTTTAAACTTATACTGGACATGTTTACTGTTTTGTGAAAGATAAGATGTAGACTAATAACGTATATAGTAAGATTCCTTTTTTTTTAAACACAAAAATATTCAAGGGTAAAATGTACTTAATTGCATATACATTATGTAATTATATAAATACATTGTATAAGCCTGGAAAACAAAAAGGATATATATTAATGGGGTAAGGGAATAGCAAACCTTCATTTCTACTGTACACATTCATGTTGTCTGAATTTGTTACAACAAACACATTAATCTGTACATAAACATGTTTTTAAGTGGTTAATAAAAAAATAACATAAAGACACAGAGAAGAGCACAATTAGACTTCTAATAAAAAGTTATAGACAAAAATGAGCAAAAACTGTTGACAATTTACAAAACATTTATTCACAGAACAAACATATCAACATTACAAATAAGCAAGAGAAAAAACTAAGCAACTATAACAATCCATAATTTGGGGATGGTGCAAAATTTTAAGACACAAATTTTGCCAAGGTTTTCAATGGGTTGACTAACATGCACAGGGAATCAGCATATAGAACTTATAAAATTCTTTTATCTTAATAATAAAAGATAGATTCTATGTTCCAACAAAAAACCTATATAACTCAGGAAAATTTATTAAATGTTCACAAATGTCACATGATACCATAGTAAATACTATGGTACTTCTATTTTTGTTATTGATTGATTTTTGTATTTTAAACACAAATGTTACATGACGGCTCAAAGAGTTTACTGTTTAAATAAACTGATTGTCATGTAATTCTCCACTGGTTTCATTACTCATCAATCCACTCTATTTTATATATATATATATATATATCTTCTAAAGCTCTCCATTCCATAATAATCTAAAAGCACTGATAATCACCTGATTATTAACATCATTAATATATGCCATCAGAATAAAACATTTATTTGAAAATTACCCTCAAATAAGAAGCATACAAAGCAACCACAAATGCTCTGAACAAGCGAATAACAGAGCTGGGGAGTTGCCCTGTCTTTCTATCATATCCCCCAGGTATAAATTACTTTTTTTCTCAGGCAAAGAGGAATTCAAAAGAAGGTAGGTAAGAATTCATATTTCAGGTAACAACTTTATTCCTCACACAAAGGAGAGAAACACTCTTTTCTACTTGTTAAAGGAAGCGAGTAGGCAGAATTCTTCTCGTTAACAAATCAAGTCATTAAGCAAGAATGCCAATCTTGAAAAAAGATGCAAAAAAGGATAAATGTATCCAGGATTCTATTAGTTATATGGTAGGTATAATTCTTTAAGTTATGCATATATCCAAAGAATAAGGAATTGTCAAAAGAAAAAAAAAAGGAGGAGGGTACCAACAGTTATTTTTTTCCTTCACGGAAAATAGCCCAATTAGTTTACAGAATCAAATTGTCTGTTTTGAAATTGTCATTTAGTCTATCTCCTTGTCTAATGTTCTTGATCTTTCTCTCAAACCCATATGACCAGCCTCTGCCTATTTCAGTGATAGCAAATACAATTTAGAGTTATCACATTTTATCTCAGGACAGCTATTAGAAATTTCTTCTTTATTACTAAATGAAAATCTATTTTAATTCCATTTACCGGGTCTTAATTTTATCTCATGGGGCCTTATTACATAGTCCTTCTTCCATGAAATAGTCCTTTGAATATTTGAGAGCAACTGTCATAGCTCATTGGGTCACCTCTTCTTAAACCAGGACATCCTTGTTCCTTTGACCATTCCTCATATACATTGGTCTCAAGACCTTTGAAGCCTCTGCGTCAGTTACCTTCTGAATATATGCTACCTAGTTTGTCTAAATCTTCCTATATTTTAGTATCTTTTTTCCAATTTCAACCACTGGTCTCAAGACCTTTGAAGCCTCTGCGTCAGTTACCTTCTGAACATATGCTACCTAGTTTGTCTAAATCTTCCTATATTTTAGTATCTTTTTTCCAATTTCAACCATAAAGCCAAATTTTATAAAATTTAAACATTACAGATATGTATAAAGGGCAATTTGAAATTTGTAATTCCATTCTTCAGATATAACTATTGTCAAAAGTTTAGGTCATATTCTGCCACTTTCCCGTAAACATACTTATACGGTTACGTATTTTTAGATATAGGATCATACTTGATATACTGTTTTGCGACTTGCTTTTTTCACATAGTAAAATGTGTTAAGACACGTTCATGTCAGGACATACAGCTCTACCTCATTTTATTAAAAGGGACACACTATTCTGCCACATGGATATTCACTGAGGGACATTTTAGTTATTTGAAATTTTTGCTAATATGAACCATATTGTAGTGAATATCCTTGAATATGGAGGGTGTGTGTGTGTGTGTGTGTTTATATGTGTGTATGAGGGTATTTCAAAAAGTTTGTGGAAAATTGAATTAAAATATGAGTCCTTCCATGAACCTTTCTGAAGACCCCTTGTATGTATATATGTATATATGCATATATATATAATTTTTACACATTCTTGCTACCATGTCTATAGAATATATAATAGGAAATAGAATCTCTGAAACATAGGGTATGTCCATTTAAAATCTGGATAATTTTGCCAAATTGCCTTCTAAAAGTTTTCGCCAATGTACAGCCTCACCTACAATGTTGTTGTTTAAAAAAAACCTACAAACATCTTGCACAATCTCACCACCTCTTCAAAGAGTGGGGCATCACCTACATTCCCCCTTTTTTCCAGATAGCACACTTCACATAGTGCAGCCCAAGACAGTGTCAGTCTTTTGGGAAGCCATATCATACAGTACATAGCCAACTACAACTTGTAAAGACTTTTACACATATTTCTGTTAAACTACATCTTCCCCATCCAATGGTCAGAAAGTTGTATTTTTATACCCAAGGGAAAGAATTCTCTATCTTAAGAGAATACAGCCAAAGCAATGTAAAATACAGACTTACCAATTCATTTTTCATGTTTAGGTCACCCTTTAGCTCCTCATAGCTCTGCTTCTGTAATATGGCCTCCTCTTTTAAAGATTTGTTCAGTTTATCTTGACTTTTAATTTCCTTGAGGAATCTTGTTTGTTTGCTCTTAAGCTCTTCAGTTTCCATCATCTTCTTTTCCAGGTCTCTTTCCAGTCTTTCTATCTCTTCTGCCAATAAAAATTTAATACTTTACTTATCATTATATTTCCTACACACAAAAAGGTAAGACTATTTCTCAAATAAAATAATAGCAAAAGAAGTCTAAAAACAGTGTAAATACAATTCTACTTTTAAAATTATCCACCATGACTTTGGGAAAAAAGACTATATTGAGCTTGAAATTGATTTATATTAAGAGGCAAGAAGGTATTATCATTTAGATGACATTTTTAAAAGAGAATACTTTACTTCCAGGTATTTCATTAATTAGTATGTTGATAAATGAGGATTTTTTCCCCCCAGGTCCCCTTTATAAAAATATGCTATATTTTATTTGATATTACTAATTACATTTAAAAGGATGCTGCAAACATGTTTGTAAAACACTACATTATCTTAAAATCTTTCAAAGGCCTCCTACTACTGTTAGGATTAGATCCAAAGAGCTCTCACGAAGAGCTGAAAAGGCTCTTCATGAGTTGGTCCCAATGTCCCACTTTGGCCTCATCTTCAAGCATAATCCACTGCAGCTTTCCTGAAATGATTTCACTTCTCCAGATTTGTGATGCCTCTTTTCACCTGCAGGCTCTTATTCACACCCTTTGCCTGGAACTGTCTTCTTTTATCTCCTTCTGGGCTATTTTGCATCCTTCAGGTTTTAAGTTTTAAAAAACATTCTGAGAAGCCTGCCCTGATGCTGTCCTTTCCCCAGGTTAGATACATCTCAGGGATGCTCCCATGCCACCTGGAACTTCTGCTATGGCCCTCATCACACTGAGTTGCAAAATATGATCAAACAGCTTGGCTGTCTGCCTTCCCTACTCAAGCTTCATGAAAGCAGAAACTGCATCTATTTGGCTCACTAATAGATCCTAAGAACCCAGATCATTAAAGGTTCCTAATTAATATCTGAAGTCATAAATGAACCATAAGTAGCTTAAACATTTCTCTCAAGAGTATATTTACATGGTGAGTTTCCTTCGCATTATTTATATTTTAAATCATTCCAAAACATAAACTTCAGAATAACAAATGTTGAGTCAGAGGAATCCCAAACTAATAAAAATTTACCATGGTTCTCAAGTACTGTATCAAAACATGAAATTTCCATTTATGTAGGTCAAAATAGACTAACATCAATTTCAAATGGTTGCACATACAGACATTTCCCAGCACTCTAAATTGGCTATTTCATATCTTCCTCTTTCTCCTCAAACCTCCCATCCTCTTCCTATTATCTTTTTCAGATGATGATCTCATATTTCATTAAGAAAACAGTCTCCATCAGTGAGAACTCCCTTATTTTACTACCACCAAAGCAACAAAACTACCCATACTTGCACATATCTTCTCTCTTTCTGATGGAAAAGTGTCCCTCTTACCAAGGGATGATATTTCCTCTTTTCCTCTAATCTCATCCTCTTACCTTCTCAAGGACCAAAAGAACTGAGCCATGATTTGTCTCTCTACCCTGGTCTTAAATATTCTGTTTATTTGGTTACTGGCTTTAAGGTTACTGCATTTGTTGTTTCTGACCATTTACTGGTCTGAAAGCTATTGGCGAATTTTTAATTTTTTTGTTTAACTTTTAAACTTCTTTAAAAACTCACTTATTAAGTACAAGGGAAGAGAAATTGTGGGATGAAATTTCAAATCTTCAGCCAACTGTCTCCCTCTCATTCACTTTTCAATCCACTATAACTCAGCATTTGTCTCCACCATTTCTTTTTTTTTTGACCGATAAGGGGATCGCAACCCTCGGCATGGTGTGGACCACGGTCCACACCACGCTCAGCCAGTGAGCGCACCGGCCATCCCTATATAGGATCCGAACCCGTGGCCTCGGCGCTACCAGCGCCACACTCTCCCGAGTGAGCCACGGGGCCGGCCCGTCCGCACCATTTCTTAACCGTATCTGTCAAGATCAACATCACATGTTGCCAATCTAAAGCACTTCTCTGTGCTCATCTTACTTCATGTCTTAGCAAAATTCAACATGGTTGACCACTTCCTCTCTTGAAACTTTTGGGCTTTTGCAACCCTCTGTTTCCTAGTTTTCGCCTACGTTTCTGACCTCTTCCTCAGTTTTCTTAGCTGGCTGACCTTCTTCCTCTTCCCAGTCCCTGCCTGAATGTGCTGATTCCCATGGAATTAAATATTATTTTGACTTCCAAATTTATATTTCTAGTCCAGATCTCTTTGAAGAGATCAGACTCCCATTTTTGACTCTCTACTTGACATCTTTACTTGGTTATTTCACAGACATTTCAAATTCAACATGGCCTAAACAAAACCCTGAAATCTCCCATTTTTATAAGGGATCTCACCATCTACACACTAACTCAAGCCAGAAGCCTGAGAATTATCGAATCATTACAAGGTGCTGCTGATTCTACCTTCAAAATTGTCCATCTATTTTTAATTTCCATATGCACCACCTAAACACAGGCCATCATTTTCTAGCCTGCAATAGCCTCCTAATAGTTCCCTTCATCTCCATTTTGTCCTGTTCTACATTATTCTCCACCCTTTATCAAAAATAATCTTCTTAATATATAAACTGGATGATGTCTCAAGCCTGCTTAAAAATTGTCAATGGCTTCCCACTACAACTAAAATAAAATACAAACCCCTAGGTTCTGTGCCATCTTGCAATTCCCTATCTCTTCAAACTTTTTCTTGAGCTGTCCTCTAGTCATATTCATCTTCTTTCAGTTGCTTGAACTTACCAGGTCTGTCTAACCTCAGGAAACAAACTGTTGTCTCTCCCTGAATGCCATTCTTCAAATGGCTAACCCTTTCTTCCCTTTGTCTTAAGCTTAAATGTTACTTCCTCAGCGAGCTATTCCTTTCTTTACATTACTTTACACTACAAAGAGGGTTCCCCTGTATTACTTTATCTGGGTTTACTTGCTTTTTGTCCCCTAAAACATAAGCTACATGAAGGACAGCACCATATGTCTTGTTCACCATTGTATTCTTGGTGTCAAGTACAGTGCCTGGTGTAGAGTACATGCTTAATAAATATTTGTTGAATCAACTGATTTATGGTACCATTTTCCATGCACATTTTAATAGCATTATAAATGCACAATACATTTTTCTAGATAACTTCTGAAAATAAATTCCTCCTTCATCCAAATTTAGTTTTTTTATTTTTTACTTATTGCACAATACATTTTTCTAGACAACTTCTGAAAATAAATTCCTCCCTCATCCAAATTTAGTTAATTTATTAATTTATTTATTTTTATAGATGACCGGTAAGGGGATCTTAACCCTTGACTTGGTGTTGTCAACACCACACTGTCCCAAGTAGGCTAACCAGCCATCCATATATAGGGATCCCAACCCATGGCCTTGGTGTTATCAGCACCACACTCTCCCAAGTGAGCCACAGGCCGGCCCCTAAATTTAATTTTTTTAAATGTCATCTTACCTAAACTGAATCTCTCAAAAGCCTCCTGTCTATCCTGAGAGGTTACTGGCTGACCTTCCAAACTTTCCAGTGAACGGAGGTGGAAAATGGTAAACTGGAGGTAATGAGGAAGGGTCACAATTGGATTTTCAAGTAGGATCAGAGAAGTCAAATCTTGAAGTGGTTTCAACTTGCTTACATCCTGGAGCTGAAATGATATAACATTAGTATTGGTGTAATTTAACTTAAAAATCATAAACATACCTAAAGGAAGTAATAAATCAAGGAAATTGCTCTTAACATGGCAAAGAACCTATTCAAGAAGCCCATTACCCAAAAGTAGTGGTGTGAATAAAGGAAAGAAAAGGGACTATATGAGTATTTATAGTGTATCATGGCAGTATTAGGCATTTTCCATATACTCTTTCATTTGTGACTCCTTACAATACCTATGATGTACATATCATATTAATTTCACAGACAAAGAAAATGAGGTTCAAAGAAGTTAGGTGATTTGCCCAAATTTCAGAGCTGGTAGTTAAATGAAACAGAATTCAAGTCTGTGTAACTCTAAACCTATTGTCTTTTCATTATACTAGCTGAACAAATTGAAAAAATGAATGGCTACAAAAAAAGATTTTGGTAAATATTCAGATAACTGAGTTATAATTAATAGTTAAAAGACATAAGGATATGTAGAGATAACCCATATTTTTTAGGTAAGATTCCTATGTTTATTCAAAGGAGATTTTAAAAGGTTGAGAAACACTACTCCAAGTAGCTAGTACAAATAAATCTTCTCTCCCAAGTGAATGTGCATCTCTCCTAAAGATGCCAATGTCGAACTGGGATGAAAATATCATATAAAATTAGAAATAATAAATATTTATTGAATGATTTTCCTGTTACTCAGCTGACACTGAGTATTATGTAAGGATCAACCACTCTGAGGAATATTTGTGGCAAATTTTAGATTCACGGCTACCTATTCCCATCATCCCATAAGCTTTAAGAGCTCTAAAGTAATGCTGTACATCATGGTGTGGACCTGGGCTCTAAGGCTCCTGAGCTGTCACAGTGAAATGACAGATAGTCACCAGATCTTTATTAAGATGAAATAAAATAGCATAGATATAGTCAATAACACAGCATTAAATAAATGTTGTTCACTATTATTGGTCTCTACTGGTGAAAGTCTAAGGAATACAGCCTTAGAGTTACTTAGTGTTTTAAAGTTTTTGAAGCATTTTCACATCTATTATTTCATCTGAGTCCAATAATACCCCTGTAAAGGAGGCAGTATAGAATTATTTTCTCCAATTTAAACAGTGAGTTTTAGAAGTACTAAGGAATTTTCCAAGGTCATGGAAGGCAAGTCTAGGCCTATACTTGAAGTCACATCTTTCATGTATTTAATGACTGTTCTTTAAATTATTTTCCAATTTTCATACAAATTCAAATAAATTAACGTTGTTACTTAGCAAATGCTTATTGAACACCTAATTATAAATAAATACCATATAAAAATCCTAAATTATAGTCTGGAGAAAAATATACATCATTATCTGATTATGTGAATTATGATAACAAAGTTACTCTATTATAAAAAACTAGCAATCAACCTTCTATTACACCAAACACCATAATCAAGATTAATTCACAAGTCTGAAAATTTTACTGTGAGGTAATATTGTCAGAAAAAACTCTGTTCTAGCCATTCAGTGATCTGGATTCTGGCACAAGCTGTGACTTTGGGTAAGGAACCTAATCTCTCTGGGACGGTAACTGTAAAGTGGGAAGAAGACTATACTACCTCCTAGTAGTATAAAAATAATCCCTGCACAGCCTCCTTAACAAGAGTGTTATAAAGCTAAAATGAAATGATATATGTGAAAATGCTAAGAGATTAACTCTTAGTTACTGTGGAATCTGAGGACTGCCTAGATTTAATTACTCCAGAGAGTGAGAGGAACATGAATCTCGGGGGGCCACAGCCAGAATAAGAGTTTGGGTATGTTGTCCCCCCAAACTTCATGTCAAAATCTGATCCCCATAGGGAGTAGATCCTTCATGAACAGATCAACACACTCCCTGGGGTGTGGGGAGGTAGTGAATGAGTTCTTGCTCTATCAGTTTTTGCAAGAGCTGGTTGTTTAAATGACCTTGGCACTTCCCCCCCATCCCCCTTTCTTTCTCTCTCTCTCTCTCACCCTCTTCCTCTCCCCCTTTTGCCATATGATCTTGCAGCTATCACTGCCTACCACTTTCTGCCATGAGCAGAAGCAGCCTGAGGCCTGCCTGAACCCAATGCAGCTGTCCCAGAATCGGGAGCCAAATAAACCTCTTTATAAATTTTTTTTAAAAAGAAAAGGGCCAGACTGATGGTGCACTGCTACAGTGCGCCGCTTGGGAAGCGCGGCAGCGCTCCCGCCGAGGGTTTGGCACCCAATGCAGCTGTCCCAGAATCGGGAGCCAAATAAACCTTTTTATAAATTTTTTTTAAAAAGAAAAGAAAAGGGCCAGACCGATGGTGCACTGCTACAGTGCGCCGCTTGGGAAGCGCGGCAGCGCTCCCGCCGAGGGTTTGGATCCCACATACAGACCGGCCGCTCACTGGCTGAGCGAGGAGCGGGGGCAACACCGAGGGTTGCGATCCCGTTGCCGGTCCCGGTCCAGTACAGGCGCGACACTGAGGGTTGCAATCCGTTGCCGGTCATGAAAAAAAGACAAAAAGACAAAAAAAAAAAAAGAAAAGAAAAAAAATACTCCAGAGAATCCTAGGTTATGTATGAACTTGGGGTTTGGTCAAAGGACCAAGGACTTTAAAAGGAGAAATTACATTTTTAAAAAACTTAGATATTTTAACTTTTTTATTTGTCCAGCCAGTACAAAAATTTGAAAAAAGTTCTTGCTACTTTGAATAACTTACCGATGATATCTTGTTGCCTTTCAGATTGAGGACTTGCAAAGATTTTAACTTCTTTCCTAACCATACTGGAATATGCTCAATTTCATTTCCTGCAAGGTTCAGCTTTTGCAGATTACACATATTTTCTATGCCTTCAATTTTGCTGGAAGCCAAAGGATAAAAGCAAACTTAGTACGTACGATGATAGAGTCCCTCCACTGTATTTTTAAAATAAACAGCTTGGTTCCACATGGGGTTACTTTTCACTATTATAATTTATCGACCCTTTTCATAAATGAAAACAAATTTACCAGGACAGCTAAACTGCCAACCCTTCATTACTATGCCCTGAAATCCTACCCATCTTACTGCAGACTTCAATACTCCATAACACAGAAAAGAAGAGTGTGTTCACGGCAATCTCACTGACTACTGTGAAGAATACTAGTGCACAGCCAGGACAGAGCTGGAAAACTCAATAGCACACCCTGTGTTATGTGCTACAGTCCTGCCCAAGAGAAGATGCCCTTAATTATTACCTTAAGTCATCACAAAAAGATTAGCTATGCCAGCAGGATATGGGAGCGCCTAGAATGATACTGTTTATATGAATTTAAGTATTTTAACCAGAATATTTAAATTAATAAAACATTTATCACCCATATTGATGAATTTTCATTGATGAAATTTTTCCCAAGTTGCTTCCAATTTAACTGTCATTTTCTATACTGGGCAAATATTTCTAAGCTTCTCTATTTTCATTTTTATTTTATGAAAGTTACTTTCATCAGGATTAATTTATCCTTTTTTACGCAAGTTTTATATTAAGAGTTTGATTCATTAATCTTTTTTATTTCATTTTTGTCTTATTAGAACTTCTGCCTCTGTCAGCCATTTTTGGGGGGCTATTATATTTATCAAGTCTATCTTGGGGGGGAAGTGTACAGATATCAAGATTTTCTTTTTTTTTTTCTTTTTCCTTTTTGTCTTTTTTACTGACCGGTAACGGGATCGCAACCCTCGGTGTTGTGCCCACACCACACTCAGCCAGTGAGCGGGAACCGGTCTCCACATGGGATCTGAACCCTTGGTGGGAGCACCGCTGCGCTCCCAAGCGGCGCACTCTCCAGTGCACCACTGGGCCGGCCCAAGATTTTCAAGATTTGATTCCTGAATCATTTTGTCTATAACAAATTTTCTATATGCAGTTTTAGCCACTGTCAGTTTCATTATCTTTATTTCTCATAGTAATACTTATTATAAATTGGAAACAAGATTGAGAGTATATTTCTGTAGCAATGAGCAAAGAACATCAGGAGAAATATATAGGATCAAAGCAGACTGAAATATCTTTGGGATCAAAATGGCAGGGTTAAAACATTCTGCTTCGGGGCCGGCCCGGTGGCGCACTGGATAGTGCGCCGCTTGGGAAGTGCGGCGGCGCTCCCGCCCGAGGGTTCGGATCCCACATACGGACCGGTTCCTGCTCACTGGCTGAGCGAGGCGCGGGAGCAACGCCGAGGGTTGCAGTCCCGTTGCCGGTCCCCGGTCTGGTGCGGGGGCAACACTGAGGGTTGCGATCCGTTGCCGGACACGGAAAAAGACAAAAAAAAAAAAAAACATTCTGCTTCATGTCAACATTCTTTATATAATAAGGCAGTGAACCATAGATGATATCCGGGGAAACTTCCCGTCAAAAATGGAATTAAGATAAACTATGGTATTCAAAATATGCATCTCCTTCTTTGATAATGCTACATATTATTCTGTATTTAGTAATGCCAGAACATATAGTTATCATATATGAAGGGCCAGACTATCAATGAATAAGGATCAAAATACTTGCTGTTTCAAAGGATTCTTTCAGTATCTGAACCCTTGGTGGGAGCACCGCTGCGCTCCCAAGCGGCGCACTCTCCAGTGCACCACTGGGCCGGCCCAAGATTTTCAAGATTTGATTCCTGAATCATTTTGTCTATAACAAATTTTCTATATGCAGTTTTAGCCACTGTCAGTTTCATTATCTTTATTTCTCATAGTAATACTTATTATAAATTGGAAACAAGATTGAGAGTATATTTCTGTAGCAATGAGCAAAGAACATCAGGAGAAATATATAGGATCAAAGCAGACTGAAATATCTTTGGGATCAAAATGGCAGGGTTAAAACATTCTGCTTCGGGGCCGGCCCGGTGGCGCACTGGATAGTGCGCCGCTTGGGAAGTGCGGCGGCGCTCCCGCCCGAGGGTTCGGATCCCACATACGGACCGGTTCCTGCTCACTGGCTGTATCACCCTGTATTCTACTGCTCAAAGGTAACAATACCCTTATCACCCTGTATTCTACTGCTCAAAGGTAACAATTGTTAAGAAGCTGGTGTATATACATCCAGACCTTTATATTCACTTACATTTATATATACACATACAGAAAAACAGAATTTTTAAACATATTTTGAGACCACACTAAACAAAATGTTTTAGAATTTCTTTTTTTCACTGAATATACCATGGATATTTTTCCATGTTAACACATAAGAGGTGTCTTTAAAAAAATTCACAGCAAGATTAATATCATCTTTTCCTTCTATTTTTCCATGAACTTTTCAAAGTACCCTCATATAGCTCTAACTCATTTTTTTAAAAAAACTTGGTATTTCATGTATACTGTACCACAATTTATTTAACCAATCCCCTATTGACACTTAATTATTTCCAATTTTTCTATTTAAATAATGCTTAATAAACATTACTATATTGACATTTTTGTATACATGTGCAAATAATATGAGGAAAATAGACATCAAGGAAGAGAATTGCTGGGTTGGTGAGTATAAATTCAATTGCTGATCAAAGTATAAAAAGATTTGAAATTTTGAAAATACTACCAAACCATCTTCCTAAAATGCTTTGCCAATATATGTGTACTAAAAACATGAGAATACCCATTTCCCACACTTTCTGAACACTGAAATAATTAATCTTTTTAAGTCTTGTCCTTCTGATGTACAAGATGAAAAATGGCATTAAACTATTGTCTTATTTCACATATCTTTTATATTGATGAATTGAACACATTTTCAAGTTAATATTGGCCATTTGTAGTACTTTTTGAACTGCCTGTTCATATCCTTTGCATGTTTTCCATTGTGTTGTCTCTCTTACTGAGTTGTAGGAGATCTTATGTTGCAAACACTACTGCCGGTTTGTTGCTTTTCTTTCACCTTTTTAAAAGATGTCTTTCATTTAACACAACTTTTAAATCTTATGTAAGCTAAATCGGTCAATATTTTTCTTTGTGGTATTAAGGTTAGTATTTGCTTCGGAGGCCCTTCTAAGATTTTAAAAATATTCTCCTATATTCTTTCCTAATATTTTCATAGCATTTTTGTTGGTTGTTTTTTTTTTTTGTTGTTGTTGTTTTGCTTTATTTTCATTTAGCTCTTCATTCTTCTGGAATTAATTTTTGTGAATGACATGATAGGAATCTTAAGTTTTATTTTCTCCAATTAAAGAGATCAAGTTTTCTATTACAATGTGTTGGTGTTATATAGTTTATGACTAATGTAGTAAACACTCTAGATCAGGCATTAGCAAACTTTTACTATAAAAGGCTAGATGGTAAATACTTTTGGTTTTGTGGGCCATTATAGTCTCTGTGTCAACAATGAAGCTCTGCTATTGTAGGGCAAAAACAGCCACAGACAATATGTAAACAAATGAGTGTGGCTGTGTTACAATAAAACTTTATTTACAAAAATAGGCAACCAGCCAAATCTGGCCTGCAAGCTGTAGTTTGTCAACCCTTCTCTATAGAGCATCAATAATGTATAGAATATTGGGTAACAGGAGGTCATAAATTTGGAGATGTCATACTTGATGTACAAGTTCCAGTGGAAACAATAAAAGGTGTGCTAAAAATTAGATGATATTAGGATGAGATCCTAACCTTTTTTTTTTTATATAGATTTAAAACACAGAAATATTTAAAACGATGTCTATACTCAGAAATTGTTAGTAACCTACCCTAAATTTCTTGCCACCATCTTTAGAAAGTGAAAGGTTCAGAGATTTTACCATGGCCAAATTGTCCTGTTTAGTAAGTTTTTTAATGAGGGCCTCTGTAATACAGCGAACTCCTACATGTGAATCAGCTCCTGAAATTACAGAAACAGATCATTATCAATAGAGGTAGACATGAATATTCCAAAAAACAAATTGTTTTCATCTTATATATAAAAAAATTTTAAGCCATGCAAATGTAAAAAAAAGAAAAAGAAAAACCATGGCTAGTTTTAATCACAATGATTTAATAATAATACTTTACTTCATAGCATTTTGTAGTAATAATGATGGGGATAAGTTATACTCTTGTAAATATTAGCTGTGTGACAATCTTCGTGATAAATGCTTTACATTTAAAATTTTTAATTAGTACAACAAACCTTTGAGATAGAAATGACTAATATCCTCATTTATAAAAAAATATTATTTGCTCAGGATCTTGCAGCTAATAAGATACAAATCCAGGACTAGACCCCAGGAAGATGAATCCAAAACTTGCCCTTTTTTTTTTTTTTTTCCTTTTTTTTTGTCTCTTTTTTTTTTTTCGTGTCCGGCAACGGATCGCAACCCTCAGTGTCGCGCCCGGACCGGGACCGGCAACGGGATCACAACCCTCAGTGTTGTGGCCGCACCTCGCTCAGCCAGTGAGTGGGAACAGGTCTGTATGTGGGATCCGAACCCTCGGTGGGAGCGCCACCATGCTCCCAAGCGGTGCACTGTAGCAGTGCGCCACTGGGCCAGCCCCAAAACTTG